CAGCCTGCTGTAGCTAACACTAACAGAAAGCTAACACTTCCATGAGCCAACCAATACTAAAACAAACCACAAAGTAAAAAGTTCTGCACTATTGGACAAAATATTATTTATTACAAGTCCAGTAGCAACAAACCAGGTCACCATCAATCTGTGATTTTAGGGCCATTCCCATCTGTACTGGGTCGGCCCGGGCCGGGTAGCCCCAATCGGCCCCAGCCTGGCCCGGTTGATTCCACACATCCTTGTCTTAAGCCCATGTGAGCTGATTCTACCCACCAATCATGGCTTGCTCTAATGGAAGGTGTGAATTTGCTGTCAGCAGTGGGTGTGTTGGCCCTGGTCGGCCTGAAGCAGACCCCCTCGAGAAGAGGGCTGAGAATGAGCCTTGGTTGGCCCGGAAAAATACCAGGCCACCCAGATATGTAAACAACCTACGCTACCCGGCCCAGGCCGACCCAGTACAGATGGGAATGGCCCATTAGTAGCCTCCTTTGGCTCCCTCATACTAGTGTAGGCCACGCAAATGAAACCGGTTTTAGCTGTTTGCATCACTTTCAAAGACATCTTACTTTTACTTCCAGGCTCTACTATGATGCCAACAGAAAAAGCAAACCTCTTTTTTTTCTTCTTGTGCTTTTTATTGATGTTTGGCGACCTGAAAATGCTAATGGCTAGCATTACAGCTAACAGATGTAAAGCAGGTAAAGAGTGCTCCCTAGAACATCCACCAGCGCCACAAAACTATCAGATGCAGTTTTTGGTCAGCAGAGGGCTCCACAGTGGTGTCAAAATATGAAACCAGTCAAGTTTCTAACTCACCAATCACTGAGATCAATGTTAACGCTCTAGCTTAAAGTAAAAAAAAAGGTCTATTGTTACTTTAAAAGTAACAAATTCTCATAAATATTTGTCACTTTCTTCTTTTTATCATAATCTTGCTAATAATAACTTTTTACTACCCTCCATGTGCTGTTTTGCTGGTATGAAAGTAGATTATGGAAAGATTTTAATATATATGCAAATAATTACAAACAGTAGGGCTGCTCAATTAATCGAATTTTAATCACGATTACGATCTGAGTTTTGAACGATTATAAAAAACATAACAAGCCGATTATTTGCTCCTCCCGCTTGCGCTGCCCTAAGTTGCAAATGAAGCGCTCCTCCACAGTGTTGCCAACTTAGCGACTTTGACGCTATTTCTAGCAGCTTTTCAGACCCCCTTCTTGACTTTTTAATCCTAAAAGTACCTAGCGAACATCTCAGAAACATTTCTGGTAACCCTTAGCTACTTTCTGGATAACTGTCGTCGACATTTCCTGCAGGTTAGCTAAACACTCCGCCTGTGCTCCGGACCGTTCTTCACAACATTAGGAAAGGGAATGATGCAGTGATGTGTCGGTCGCTAAAGACAGCTCTCGGAGCCGGCTCCTTGTTGGATTAACCAGAGTGAGTGACACACACACCGCACCTGCGGTCTCCTGAGCAGCTAAAAACAGCTATGTGCGCGTGCGGCGTGCTAAACACACGTGCAGCTTGCCCGATTGCTGTGAGACCGGGGTGGGGGGGTGGGGGGTGCAGCTGTGGTCGGGACAATTATTACATTAACTGATGGGCCTGTAAATAAATAGTTTATAAATAAGGTAGAAATAAGTTCCTCACGCTGATAACTAATCTCTCTGAGGACACAGTGCTACAGCACCTTGACACGACTCAATAAATGTTATGTAACATTTTGTGAACATCAATTTATTTGCATTTATTTGTTATAAATGCCACTGTATAATTCTTGCTGTCAGTATTTGCAAGATATTGGTATTTGGGTCTGTACTGGTTAGACTCAAGGTCTATAGCCCTTGGGTCATAGACTATGAGCTATAAGTATATTGGTCTTTTTATCCTGGGAATCAGGAGTTCTTTTAGTGATCATCTTGTTTCTTATTTTTGTCCTGATTGTGCCCTGAGCAGTTTTATGACTGAATAAAAACAAATAAAATCAACATAAATTGAAAAATCGTCCTAAATAATCGTGATCTCAATTTCAGTCACCATAATCGTGATTATTATTTTTGCCATAATCGAGCAGCCCTAACAAACAGCATAAAAAAGAAGCCAATGCAAATAGCCACAGATGTTCCCAATTTACAGTGCAGCATCCAGTTGATTATAATGAAAAGGCATGCATATTTGATAGTCAGAATAAAGCAATAAAGATGTTCATCTGGTGGACTGGGAGGCCTTTTTGTCTTCTAAAGCACATAACAGTTGTGCGGTAATATCTGTAACTGAATTTACATCTATAACCGTCTTTACAACAGTACATGCTATTTTCATTTATTGAGGTAATTGTTTTACACTGAATTAAATGTTCCCTCATGAGATTTCCATCCAAATTTGACACAAAGATGAAAAACCTTTTTTGTTACAGCTGCAGAAGTTTGTTTTTTATACATAGTACCGTAAACATTCAGAATGATGCTTTTTCTGCACGGATAAAGCTCTCAATGAACACGCCTGGTGAACAGTGAAGTTCAGTGCTGTGCTGCAGGTCTGACAGAGGTGATTATGATCTGTCCTCAGGGGGGGTTTGACATCGCTGAGCGGATGTTTTACAGCATAAAGAAGGAGTGGGAGTCGGCCTCGAAAGACAACATGGGCGACGTCCGTGAACTTATCCCAGAGTTCTTCTACTTGTCTGATTTCCTGCTCAACTCCAACAACATCCCGCTTGGTCAGGCACAAAACACTGCTGTTTTACTGCAAATGTGAATATTTTCTTGCATGTGCAAATTAACAATTCCTTCACAAACCACGCAAACACATTTCTTTTGATCTCATTATTCCGGGATCTTTAATTTCGCACTTTGCTCTTAACACAACATCACGATTGATGTAAAACTTTGAATTTATGCCGTAGAAGCTCTTCATGTAGATTATTCTTATAGAAAATTTTTCACCATAAAATTGTCTTTACAGCATTAGGAAATAACACTTCTGATATTTCATACTATTAAGCTCAAATTAGTATTAGCAGGTGGTCTAAAAAGACAATTCAGTGTAAACAAAACCCCAACATTATTTAAATGATATTTTAATGGGCTTCATTGGGATGACTTATTTAAATATAAGAACTTGCAAGGGCAAATCTGTGCTTATTCTGAGAAATTATATCATCAACATTTGTCCACATTCATAATTAGACAGAATTGTATGTAGTTTTGTGGTCTGTGGGTACGGTGGATTGACAGTTGTTAGATATTGCATGCTTTACACTTTTTTTTTGCAATTTTTTTTTCTTTTCACGACCTCATCTTATTTTATTAGAAGGAAAAAAGAGCAACATTTACATTTTGCGTCCTTTTGTGCAGCCACTGCCTCTTTAAACACTGCAATGCGAAAACACTTGCCCATCATTTTTCTGACAGTGTTTTTAGCAATTTTGTGTCTAAAACAAGCTATTTCAAAAAGTCCCCATTTGTGATGTCACAAATTTGGAAATTAGAATAGAACCACTTCTTTTGGAGAAGAGCAGCAGCTCTAATCTGAGTCCCTCCCAGATATCGGAGCTTCTCAGCTTGTACTAACCAATCTTGGGATGGATGGGCGTGGCCAGCAACTGCTTGCTTCTTTTCTTAAAATGAACAAAACCTGAAAAAGCTAATTCTGGAGGATCATGAAAAAAGAAAAAAATGAAATAGCTAAAATCACCTCATGTTGGAGGGATTTTGTGCAAAGAACTTATTAAACATTTCTCAACCATATGACTATTACAACTTCGGAAAGAAAATCCTGATTAGTCTACTTTAAGAATTTGAAGAGGGTCTTGTTCATGAGTGAGGGGAAGATGGAGAGCGACACTGACAGGCGGATTGGTGCAGCGTCTGCAGTGATGTGGCCGTTGTACCGGTCTATCATCATGAATAGCGAGCTGAGCCCAAATGCAAAGCTCTCAGTTTACCAGTTCACCTATCTTCCAACCCTCACTCACCTATGGTCAGAAGCTTTGGGTAGTGACGAAAAAATTAGATTGCGGATACAAGCGGCTGAAATGAGTTTTCTCAGCAGGGTGGCTGGGCTCTTCTATAGAGATGGGTTAGAAGCTCGGTCATCAGGAAGGGGCTTGGAGTAGACCCGCTGCTCCTCCACATCGAGAGGAACCAGTTGAGGTAACTCAAGCATCTAGTTAGGATGCCTCCGGGACGTCTCCCTGGTGAGGTTTTCTGGGCACGTCCAACTGGAAGGAGACCTAAAGGAAGACCCAGGACACGGTGGAGGGACTATGTTTCTCGGCTGGCCAGGGAACGCCCTAGGATTCTCCCGGAGGAATCCCTCTGCTTAGGCTGCAGCCCCTGCAACCCAACTCCGGACAAGCGGAGAAAAAATTGATGTGACATATGACATAATGACATATGGTTGTGATAATGACATGTAATAAAAGAGGGAAGCCAGTAATCCATAATATTTCTGCAATGGCATCATGAGGTTTAAAATCAACACAGTTGTTTTTCTTCCTTCTGCTGGACTTTATTTAACCTGAAGAGTCTGCAGTCAGGTTCAAACAGTGATGTGATTTTCTCATATGTGTCTAGGCTGCATGGAGGACGGCACGCCTCTGGGAGATGTGGAACTGCCTCCATGGGCGAAAGGTGACCCCCAGGAGTTCATTAGAGTCCATCGAGAGGTCAGTCACACCTGACCTCACCTGGCCTGTCCGTTCCAATTGGCCAGTCTGACCTATTATATACAGACTTCTCCCACCAGACCTAATGCTTGTCAGTACCATTTGACTTATGTAGACAGAAGCTTTACTGTTTTAGTGTCTCATAACAAATATCCACTGTTCACATGGCGACTTAGTCTTTCTGCTATAATAAGAGACGTGTTACTGGTAGAGATTTGGATTGGTTCAGTTCTGTTTCCAAACATAATGCATGGTTGTTTTAAGAACGCCTGAAAAGTGGTTTATTTGTGGTGTCACTGACAGACAGCAGACCCATTTAATGTGATTCACGCAAGGACAAGACTTGTTCTTTCTCATAAGACCATTTATCTCCGTGATCTGTTGATGGGCTGAAAATCCTCCCTGTTCGTCTCTCTCTGCTCCTGCTTTTCTGTCCCTGTTTGGAGTTATTGTGCATCTTGGCTGGTCTGATTTGTTTAGTGTGACCCTCCCTTTTTTCATTCCTGGCGCATCTCTGATGGTTATCACTCTGTAATCTACTGAACTTCTCTCATTCCGTCCCATTCTCATAAAATTAGTGACTTTAGAAGATTGTTTTTTTTTTCAAAGACAAATTAACTCTGGACAAAATATTCCTGTTATATTTATTTTTTCAGCTTTGTGTTCTTGCTGGGCGGGTTTATTATAGCATGGTGGTCATAATGCCCACTTTCCTTATTAGCTCTTCAAAACTAATCTCTGGCTAATTCTTATTTCTAACACAACAATATGCTCATAACACAGAGTTTAAATTTTCTCCTAGTCTTAACTTGTAAAAGGACTTTTGAAAAAAAAAACACTTTGTACCTGAACAATATGTGCACTCCTGGAGAGGTTATTGTGCTCTAAACTTTCTTATTAACAGTTTGAATGATGATTTGGGGCCTAGAATGATAATAATAATAGGTGCAGCACAATTCTGTGCTTTGAATTTGCAGAATGCATGCTTTGTATTTTTGTAATATTGCTAAATTGTTGTGTTCTACAATCCTGCTGTTTGTATCAGGCCCTGGAAAGCGACTATGTCAGCTCAAACCTGCACCTGTGGATCGACCTGATCTTTGGGTTTAAGCAAGAAGGCCAGGCTGCTGTGGAAAGCGTCAACACATTCCACCCATATTTCTACGTCCAAAAAGGGCGAATAGATGCGAGAGACCCTGCTCTCAAGACCACGATCTTAGGATATCTCAGCAACTTTGGACAGATTCCGAAACAGGTGAAAAAGATCACTCTGTTGCTTATTATGTGTTCAAATATATGAAATGGCTTTTAGCCTAAGTTAATTAATGATTTCTGAATTCTCTAAAGCTTTTTACCAAGCCCCATCCTCCTCGCAGTGGCTTCAGAAAAGAAGGATCTTCACCTTCAAGCCCAGTTCCATTTTTCTTTAAACTGGATAAGCTAAAGACTACGGCTCAGCCGTTCAGAGGTACAGCTACACATGGGAGGTGTTTTAGAAACAGCGTGAGAGTAATTACCTTTACATTTTATTTTAAGAAGAAAATATGTTTTTCTTGTAGAAAAGGTTATCTTCATTTTCAAAGAAAGAAACACCAAAAAAGGAAAAAACAAAGACTTAAAGATGGAGTATGTAGGAATGAAGTAAGATTTCTACAGTGAAAGAAACCCACAACAGTCTAATGTCTCAATCGGGTTGGACCAAATGTTTTACTGAAACATATTTTATTCTTCGATGGCTGTGGGTGTTGTCAGTTTTTGTCCTTTCAAAATAAAGGAAAGGGGGATGCAGCTACTGTTGAGTGAGTGTGGGGTTGCTGTGTCTCCTAGTGACCAGATCCCAACTCAGCAAACGTGGGACAGAGACTCGGTGTGGGACAACGCGAAATTCCAATGCAAAAGTCAGAAAAAAATTTATATTAGCAATAATTTCTATTCTGCTTTTTAGCTTTAACGTCTTTACATACACATACAACTATTATCATCTTATATTTCATGTGCTATATATTCTATTTGAATTCAGCTCAGGCTCTTGGACCTTCTACAGTAGCTCTGAGTAACTTGGCTAAAATTATTTTAAACTATCTACTCATTTTAACAATATAAGTAGGCCCACAATAAAAAGAATGTAGGTTTAAGCAGCTTTTCAGAGTTTTCATGGAATATTGAATATAACAGAGTGACAGTAAAAGTACTAGTAAAATTTTTAGATCTATAAGTTTGTTTTTAATTCATTTTCAGCTAAAATCAGCATCCCATAGAAAGAGCATCCATACTTTTTTTACTATTACATTTTTTTCTAAATTCAAAAGCAAAATGGTGGTTTTGTTTTTAAATGACATCAACTCTCTTACCGATATTTAGGATTGAGAAAACAACATCACCGACTTTAGTCTCTGAAAAAAATTCAGATCTAATCTTAGAGTTCCTTTTTTCCTCAAATTTCCTCAAATGAAGGCTTCCATTTAGTTATCTCATTATTTCTTTAATTTGCTTTTGAATAGTTTAGCTGTTGTGTCCTTGGGCGAGACTTAACCCAACTTGCCTACTGGTGTTGGTCGGAGGGATTGGTGCTTGGAAGTCTCGCCTCTGCCAGTGCGCCCCAGGGCAGCTGTGGCTACATCGTAGCTCATCACCACCAGGATGTGAATGGATGAATGATACACTGTAGTGTGAAGCGCGTTGGAGTCTTCTGTCTCAGAAAGGCGCTATACAAGTGCGGATCATTTATTATTTATCATTTAAAACAACACAACAGCACCTCCTGGTCTATGTTAGAACCGTCTAATTACTGGGAAACTTGCTTCTGCCCAACATTTTTTATGTGACTCTCAGATTTTCTACTTCATTTCACATCGAACTCCACACCGTGACACAAAATAGACTAAGAAACATCATAAAGACTCTGTCAGAGTCTCTCTGAACACTTTTAACCCAGGAGTCTTTATTCTAGCAGCATTTTCTCCATCGTGCTCACTGACGCTTCTGTTTTGGTGGTTTGGGTGAGCGCACACACACCGAGACCTGCGTTAAAGTCCAGCCTCCTTGTTTGGTTGACAGCAACGGGCAGCTTTCTCCACACAGTTAATGCAAGATTGAAATTTGAAATGGAAGATGGTCAATAATGCAGGACATAAGTCTCAATTGGCAGGATGTGAGAAAAGTAATGAAAATGCAGGACTGTCCCGCACCTTTAAGCACTCTGGTCCAAATGTGATGAAACATTAAGCAAAGATAAAAATAATACTTGTAAATGTTATTTGTAGCAGCAGTGATGTGTTTTTATAACTCTGCTGAAGGAAGCTTGACCAAACTTTTGCTTTTTCCAACCCAAAGATCTGAGGACACTTTCCTTCTAAAATAATTCAACATGAACCTAAATGTGATCATTTTTTATTTAAGAAATCTACTTTTATCTGGTTTTGTCAAACAAATAAGGGAAAAGGGACAATCTCTGATCCTGCAATCACCCCAATTACAATAAATGAACTGGTTTACTCTTTTTTTTTCTTTTACAAATACCCCCCCCCCCCCCCAAAATAAAGAAAAATTTGAAGAAAATAGTTAAAAATGGCATGGATGTTGTTTTACTTTGCTGAGCATGGTAAATCTCACCTGGCTTTGACAATATTGCATTTCTTTTGTTGTTGTTCTTCCTCTTTTAATTATTTCTTCCATACCATTTGATGTCTGTTATTATGCCCTAGATGTGCTCTGATATCGAGGGAATCATTGAGATGCTGAGAAATTTTCCATAGATTAATTTATCCTACAGAAAGGTAGAAAGAGCTATCTGTTAGAGGTACAATATGGAGATGAGTCTTCAGCTGAGCTCTACTTAATAATCTGAATATCCCTACAGGCCCACTGAGGCAGAGGAGATGAATCTGCGAATGCTTAGGGAGAGATTCCTGCATATTACATTTCATATTAAATCTCCGAGTGTCTGATCTGATCAATAAGGAGATAGAGATGAATAGGAGGAGGAACGTTTGGAATAATGCAGACGGAACTTCTTTCTGGGGATTTTAGAAGCAGATCTGGCAAAAGGATTTAATGATTTCTACCTGTTCCTGCATGACTAGGTCAATTACAGGCACAATTACTGCCTCTTTGTGCATTTCCTCACCCACATATGCTCACATTTATACAGTCTGGGATGCAGGTGCCCCCCAGGACAAAGCTTTTCTACTTGTAACCTGGGAAAAAGCCGTTTTAATTGCTTGTGTTGTCTCTGGTCAGTTTAATAAAAATACTTCACGACTTTACTGAACTGCCAGACTCTTTAAAGTGATGCTTTTGAGGAGCTATTATCTTTATTTGGCCTGGCATTTTCATTGAGGCTCACAAATATGCAAAATGAGGACACATCTTTCGACAGTAAATCCCTTTTTTTGGTTTGCTAGCTGTTGTCTAGAACTGATTTTATTTATATGTATATACATTTTTGCCATTTGAAATCCTGTTCCCTGTTTGTGCTTCTGTACACTTTCTTGCAGAGCTGTCAAGAGGTCCGGTAGGTCAGATAGTGTGTCTGGAAAATGAAGTTGTGGTTCTGGAGGAGAATCAGCTGCTTTTATGGCCTCCATTTGGCTGCCTCTTTAGCTGGGGGTTTCCAGATAACAGCTGTGCATTTGGAAACTACACCACAGAGAAGGTATGCACATCGTGATTTAATGAAGTTCGCGTTTCTTGCTGTAATGCACATGTCGCACAAATTAAATGGAGACAAGGCAACCTTTAAAACTCTGAATGGTAACAAAGTCATAATGATGTGAAGAACACTCACGCTAATTTTGACAATATTTAACAATTAGCGAACAGAAAATTATCTTACTTATCAGGATTATTTGTGCTGCATTTTCCCTGAATAGGCTTGTTCATGTTATATTTCTGTCACATGTGTGGCCATTTCTTTCATTTGTTCCGATTTTTTGTTAGGAAAAAAGAAAATCAGACACCAGCCAGGAGAGAGCAGAGCACGTCTCGTCTAGTAGAAGCTAACATTAGCATTAGCAACTCCACACCGTGACATAATTCCTTCAGGCTTGGGTTATTTGTGGAGATAAAACATCAATGTTGCAGTGCAAATGGAGTCAGTGTAACCCCAATTTACCGTTGTCTTTCAAACGATCTCCAAATGCTACTGGACAATGACGTACTCACCACAACAGATGTTGGTAAACGAGGCGGTCTGCTGTTGAAGACGGCGAAAATACATCCTTTTTTCTAAAAAACAAACTTAAATACATATATCTGCTCCTGATTTTAATAAAACCCTAGTCCAAATAGTCCATGGATGGAAAAGCCATTTCAAACGAGCTGTCGCCATCTTGTTCCACTTTGTTGCATCGTCCCACCCACCAGACAAATAGAGGGACTTGATTGGCCCACAAAGCAGATAAAGCTCTGTGATTGGTTCACAAAGCAAATAAAGTGCTATGATTGGCCCACCATTATGGACCAATCACAGTTTTCTATGTGTTTAAAACCCCTCTGGAGAGCTGTGATTGGCCAGCCAGAATGCTGCTAGAGGGCTGCAGAGGTTCCAGTGGAGCGTTCCCAGACCAAACGTTGCAAAGCAAGAATTTGGTCTAGTTCACTAGGCTAGTCTTTAGCAGCACTGCCTGAAAAGTCCCGCACTGCAGAAGGGATTTTTTTTAAAGCAGCGACTTTCCGCTGCTGTTCCGTGCTGCTGGTGTCTCCAGTGTTGATTTTAGGTAAGAGTTATGTTTGTCACGTTCTGATTAGGAGGAGTAGGACCCAATATGCAGAGCACCAGAAGATATGAGGCAGGAGTTGATAGAAAGTAAAAAATCCTTTTATTGTAGGATGAACAAAAATAAATCCAGAGGCATGGAGCCCAAAATCCAGAAATCCAAAAGCAGGAGAACAAAGCTCAATTAGAGCACAAACTGGGGACTAGACAGGAAGCTCACACAGAGCACCAAAGAACAACGCTGACAAACAATGGACCAACAAGAACAATGAGACAAGGAGGGCTTATATAGACAGGGAGGAGCAATTAGGGAAACAGGAAGCAGGTGTGTGGAGTGAGGCTGGAGGGAAGGCAGGTGACAACAATTATCTGGATGGGGAAGAGAACCAGTGGAGGGCAGATAAACCTAAAACTATATAAAACACAAAACTAAACCTAAAGACTAAGGGAAGGACTCACACAAACACATACACATACTGACACACACAAACTCATACACACATACAATGAACTGGGGAACAAGAGGCTGGGGCTACAACTTAAGACACACAACAGAGATGCAGACAAAGGACACATGAGGGCACTAAGAGAACACAAAAGGAGAACCTGGAGTGGGAACTGGCAGAGCTGGGGAACAAAGGGACACAGAACATGACAGTGTTGCTGTTAGCCAATCAGAGGAGAGATGTCCAAATGTGAATACTAATGAGTAAGACTCCACATTCTTCCAAATTCCCCCACTGCTTTGTCTAACTTCTACTTCATGAAACAGGAGCACCAGAGGTTTTTGGGACAGCAGTAGCTCAGGAGGTAGAGCGGATTGTCCAGTAATCGGAAGGTTGCCGGTTAGATCCCGGCTCCGATCAGAGAATGCTGCTGTTGTGTCCTTAGGCAAGACGCTTAACCAGGGCAGCTGTGGCTAGATCGAATCATCCTACCAGCATGTGCCATTTACCACTTTTTTAACAGAAAATGATTCACAAGACATTCATTCAAACTAGAGACCGCAGCAGATGGTATAAAGTAACAAGTGAAGGCTTATTTTAATAACACACTGTGAGTCGATTAAATGAGTTATGTTCATTAAGTATCATATGGTGTTATTCCAACTTGATTTCAAAGTATTCCTGCCAAAAATATATGAACAATAAGTGTTTCTACACATTAAAACCAGACGTGCTCCAAAGAATGTAAAATCAATTGAGTCCAGACTTTTTCCAGAGCTCTCACGTGTCCTTCAAACCAGAGACTTTTTAGTCTCTGGCATCTCTTGCAGCTCAAATCCATAGAGTGGAAATAACTACAGCTTATTATAGAGTTTGCTGATTATTCTATTTGTGAGATTTTTCATTCAAATAGGTAGAAAACAATCTATACTTGAGTCGATATGAGAATGAAACCCCTACAAGCAGTTGGAGAAACACGTGAACCTCATCACTCCACAAAAACAAACCCGGCCTGCAGTTTACATTTAAAAATAGCCTCATCAGCTCTCAAATCCACAATGAACTTACGACACTGGTTCATCGACAGAACTTTGCTGTGAGCGAGAGTTTGTGTGACTGGGGGGAAACTTTGTGCGCCACCTCCCCGAACCTGACGACCCTCATCACTGCAGGAGCCAGCACTGTAGTGTGTGTGTGGGACCTGGTGATCAGCAAGGACAAGCTCACCCACATGAAACTCAGACAGGTTAGTAGCTTTGTGTGTGTGTGCATGTGTGTACTATCTAGAATGTGTTTGTCTGACTCTGTTGGTATTTACAGCCCTTATACGGTCACACAGACACTGTGACATGCTTGGCTGTGTCCGAGGTCCACAGCCTGATAGTGAGTGGCTCTCATGACCTCACCTGCATCCTGTGGGATTTGGAGGAGCTGAATTACATCACCCAGTTAGCAGGACACACAACCAGCATCTCTGCCCTGGCTGTCAATGAGCTCACTGTAAGTCACTCTCCATCGTTTTGTTTTGAAACTTTTAACTTATTGTCATCATGTTCTTCCTCCTGCAAGGGAGGACCCTCACTACTGACAGCATGCACATCCTCTTTGTCTGTGTTTTCTTGTCTTCATACATGCTTGTGATTTAGTATCTGTGCGCGTTTGAACCTCACCACCTTTGTCCTCTATTCAAGGGTGAGATTGCATCATGTGCGGGACCTCTGCTGTACCTGTGGACCATGAAAGGTCAGCTGCTGACCTGCACTGACACTTCCTGTGGGCCTCAGGCAGACATCCTGTGTGTCAGCTTCACACAGCGACACGAGTGGGATGCCAGGAATGTTATTGTCACCGGCTGTGCAGACGGCATAGTACGGGTGAGTTCTTTGTGTGCAGGAGTGCCGCTATTTGGACATTTTTGAACAGTTACTGTATTCTGCAGTGGCAGTCATTACGTTGGCCTTAGCTTCACAGGTTGACTGTCCATTGAAGTTATTAATAGTGTGTGTGTGTGTGTGTGTGTGTGTGTGTGTGCGTGTGTGTGTGTGTGTGAATTATTTGACAGTTTTTTCTTTATTTTTTTTACTCAGGATTAATATAAGCATATGCTGCTCCTCTGTAATCAAAGCTGCAAACTCTAAATTGTGCTTCACTTGGGAGTGGGTGTCCATGCCACACACACACACACACACACACACCTACACACACACACACACACACACCTACACACACACACACACACACACACACACACACACACACACACACACACACACACACACACACACACACACACACACACACACACACACACACACACACACACAAGCACATGTTATCATTACTTTATTATTACACAGATAGTGTGCGGTGGATGCTTGTTATTATGTTGAATTATGTCTATAATTTTGCCACTCGTTATGTGTCTCTCACACAGATATGGAGGACAGAGTACACCAGAACACAATTACCTGGCTCTCCAGAAGAGCCTTTGTCCCCAGGGCAAGACCGGAGAGAGAGACATGGTAATGTAACAGGCATTGGGATAAGATATGTATGTTGGTATTGCTTTTATAACTACGATGGTGCAGGTGGCTGACAATTACAAAAGTTTAAAACCAGAAAGCTAACTCTGCAAAAAAATAAATAAATAAACCAATCTAAAATGTTAAATCTTTAAAGATGTCTTTGTTTTATTTAATTAGATAAATCTTTATAATTATTCCTGTGTATCTATCTCAGAGCAAGGCAGCATTCCTCTCAGATAAAGGATTTTGTGCTCATCCTATCCCTCACTAGCATTAGTGCTAGCAGGAATTATGTTGTTATAAAGTTATTAAACATAGAGGCAGTAAACACTGATGAATAATTCTGCTGACGTGTGTGTGTGTGTGTGTGTGTGTGTGTGTGTGTGTGTGTTTTATAATTTAGAAAGCAATAATACCCAGATCCAATTTAGCATACGTTGGTTACAGCCTCACGTCACCTCATAGGAGTATTATGTTTTCCAATTACATTGAGACAAGTCTTTACGTAACCCTGAAGCATTTATATTGAGGGTTTTTTACTTCCTTTTACTGCCCGCCGACAGCGGACGGACGCGTGTTAATGTGCTGTTTAACTGCTATGTGAGGACTGTATGGTTACACAAAGTTGAGCTCATAGTAAGCAATGGCGTTCTCATGATGGATCCGCAGGGAACAGCTGGAGGAGACGCCTGATGTTGTGTCAAGAGCTGAGCAGAGGTCAGGCGACGTCACAGCGCCGATATAAAAATGACCCCGCCATCACTGCTCTGGCCATGTCCAGGTAAAGAAAATTATGTGCAGCAGAGAGATTTGTTTTCTTTAAAACTTCATGTAATTTTTTATTAACTATTATCAGATTCCATGTGTGTCCATGAGAAAACATTTGCTCTCTTCTTTCTGCAGGACTCATGCTACTCTGCTGGCCGGCGACGCCTGGGGCCGAGTTTTCACTTGGGTCTGTGAATGAAAGGTTTGTAAACACTGTTGGACCTCCAGCCACTACGTACATCCACCTTTAAGAGGAACTGATGCCCCGAGTCCGAACACTGCTGAGCAGCACACCTGCTTCACGTCTGCGGGGTGATTTTACCATCACAGAGCAAGAAGCTTCAGATGAAATCCACCATTTAACTATTGTTATGTTAAATAATTAATTCAAATTAATTTGATGAAATCATCCAAACAAATTTGCAAGAGCATTTTCTGTTACGGATTAAAAAACAAGTGTGGTCAGCAGCCTAAAGGACATTGTCTCTGTCTGCTGAATGAATTAGAATGGATTCTATATAAAGGTGTGGAACACTGAAAAAACATTATTTAAATCTTATTTCTGATTTTAATCAGTCACTCTGAGCTTTTTGTGCAGGCTGAACATGAAAATAGTCTCCTACAGCTACCTCCTGCATTAGCTTCTGATAGAAAATAGATGGTGAATCTCTGGGATCGGACAGACCTGACAGATCTACGTCACACTGTCAACATTCATGGACTCACCAACCTTGGCTCATGGCGGGGAAGTCTGTTGTTGTTTTAACATCCAAATAAACAGCTGAAAACATGTTTTCTAGTAGAAGCTAATTGTTAGCATTAGCAACTTCACCACACAGCAGAAGCTCCTCCAGGCTTGTGTTATTTGTGGAGAGAAAACATCGACGTTGCAAGTCAGTGGTAGAGTTGCATTGCTGTTATCCAACCTGGAGCTAGATGTCCAAATATCAGCCATTAAGACTCCAAAACCTGCCGTCTGAAGCTCGGCTGGGATGTGGCTCACTGCTAGCTCCTGGAAAGGTTTATTTGCCCCCCCCCCCCCCCCCCCCCCAGCTACAACTTACAAGGCATTCATTCATACTAGAGACCACTGAAAATGTAATGATTAAATGACTGTTGCACACCTTTAAGGAAATAAAACGTCTCTGTTGGTGTTCAATAATTCATTTGGCAGCTTTAAATAGAGAATGGGTGAAATCAAATGAATAATAATAATTTATTTTAATAATAATATTGCAGGAGGGTCAGCTATGCCAGAACAATGCATACACATCAGTATTTACTGGTTTTCTTCAGCTAACGTTTACTAAAACTCTTTTTAACAAATGTGTTTTCAGTTGTCCTAATGTGGTATTTAACAGCTTCTTGAGTCACTGCTCTTACTGAAGTGTATGTGATGTGAGTGATTTAAAATGTGTTTTGTTTTAGTCAGGATTTTCTTCATGCTTGTCCCAGATTTTTTGTGTTTACGGTTACCCGAGGACAAAAATGTCCTTTTAGACGCATCTCTGTGAGGCTTTGACCACAGACTCCTGCTTAGATCTCTCATTTTTAAGGAGAGACTGTGTGACTGTTTTCTGTTTTGACTCTTATTAGTGTAAATCTGTTTATTCTAATAAATGAATGTTAGCGATTATTGAGGCTTGCTTGTTTTCTGGCCCCTGCTGAGGCTCGTGTTTGCACCGCTCCCTTCTATCATAAAGGAAGGGGTCCCTCTCTTTAACCTTTTGTGTGTGTGGCTAATTGTGCTAAGTGGAGTAGCTTAATAGAGTGGAAAATAGTGCTCATAATTTTCCCAGAGAGCGAGCTGTGACCTTCTCTAAAGACAACAGCCATCTCCATTCTCTCTACACGGCTGGTTTTATGATATGAGATGTCAAACCACTGGGTTCCTCAGAGTAATTAAATCAAATAAATTATTGCACCTAGGCAGAACCATCTTGTAGCCTAACCCAATTATAATGCACTGTAAAGCTAATTATTAACCATGATTACAATTAGTCTAATTTGAATAAATGTAGTCATTAGTGAGTTCATCCCAGTCAGTGAGTGTGAACTGTGGGGGATGATGGTCTCTCTTTCTCAGTCTCTCCCCCTCACTGAGAGAAGATTGTGGATCATTCTCCTAGCCACCTCCATCTTCATCCCATTTTTCACGCCGACCTTCACGAAACAGCCCACACCCTTCACCCTCCCTCTGATGTGACGTGCGATGCTTTCGGGATTTATATTCGCAGTTTGCGGCCGCGCCACGTTGAGCAGACTCTGAAATCAGAAACAGACAACGCTGCTGTTTTCTGTCCTTTGGTATTTTATTAGAGTTTCGACATGAAGGGAGGTGTTTGAGGCCTGAGTTAGACAAAAAGCTCAATAACACTCCGCATCTGCCTGGTGAGCCCGTTGCTGGTTCCGTTTTGTTCAGCAGCAAAAGAGAAAAGTCTTATTTTGGCAGAGTGCCGAGTGCATTCGTTTGTCAGTTATCAGTGTTTGCTGCTGTGATTTATAAAGATGTAGTAAATGCACTGATATAGTGTATTAATGCAGAAATATTAAAATGTACTTAAAAACCTATTTCTTTAAAACAATAACATCTGGTGACAGAATCATACCCTCCCTGTTAGGAAGGAGCAAAACCTTACCTTCAAACGGGGCATCCCCCCCCTCCCCCAACAATAAAAAAAGCAATGCCATAGTCATAGTTCATAAATACGCTCCTTAGGATTCTGTTTGGTTTAGTTCAGTCTGGAGAGCTGGGCCTCTGCCCTCACCAGGAGGTACCAAACTGCCATATCTAGAGCCTTTCTTCCTGGAAGAGGATCTGAGCGTACACAGTGTCTGGGACGGTGGGAGGGGTATGAGGGATGGAGGAGGCCGGTGGTCCCTGCCTCGGTCTCACCAACTCCAGCTCTGCATACGTCAGACTGTCCTCTTGTAATGCTCGAGGCTGAAGGAGCAAAAGGAGAGCAGATTTTAACTGGCAGATAAAGCTAAAGTGAACATTTGTAATTCATTCATTCACATTTTTTTTTATATGGTAAACATCTCACTGATTCCCGAACCTTGCAGGCGCTGTTGGAACAATCGATTTACAGTGAAAACATTTGATACATCAGCAGGGCCGGTTCTAAGGGAAACCCAGAGTGGGCCAGTGCCGCCCTGACTGCAAGCTTGGACCCCCCTGTGGACCCCCTTTTGACAGCAGAGCCTAAAGCCACCTTTACTCTAGATGTGAAAGCACCAAAAAACGTACTACATGGCAATTAGCTGTCGTCACAGAGGACGGATCCTTTCCATTGGCAGCAAAGTGTAACATTTTGGATGTTTCACAAAAGCAAAGAGAAGTTATCATTATGTTTCAAGTCTATTTCATATGCGCCGCGCTTCCAGAATGCGTCAAACTCCAGTTTAGATAAGTTTAGGTCAGTGTGAACCAACCAGAAACTTTCAAAATAAAGGTCCTGTGCAGATAAATGTGTGCCATTTTCTGTGAAACCCCATAGTTAATGTAAAGAACAGAGAATAAGCCACAGACTTTTTTTTGATACATTCTGTCATGTTCTGCGGGTGGAGGTGGCAGACCATGTGTGGTGGTGGGTTCCAGGAGGCAGAGGATCAGGCAGACGGATGTAAAAAAATAAAAGATGTTTATTGAAGGACGGGAGCAACAGGACGAACGAACATGGACAACGACAATGAACCGACAAAGACAACAACCAGGAGGGAGGTATAAATACACAAGGGAATCAGGAACACATGGGCAGAGTAATCAGGGACAGGTGAGAACAATAAGGCTAATCAGGGCAGGAGAGACACAGTCAGGGAGGCTGGGGCGGATCATGACACATGCAGGTGTCTTTCTCCTTGCTTGTTTTTGTGTGGATTTCTGAAATCACACGTGGGGTTGCAATTGTTCCGTGGTTTTGTGACTTTGCGGGATCAGTGGCGTGGAACGCTTTTGCTCCTGTTTTGCGTTTCGTTTCGTTTGGAAGGGAGCTCGCGGGTAAAACGCCGCTATTACATCACATGCCGTTTTCACATCCAGTGGAAAGGAGGCTTGAAAATTGGAAAAAGATGCAGGGAAAATACCTCTCTGTTGTCACTGAGATGAATAACCAAAATAACAGTCTGACTGTGCTAAATAGTTACATATTAAACCAAACCAAAAAGCGTTTGTACCTAAAGTAGCTAACTGAATTATATTGTCACTCAAATTTGAACTACTTAGTAGCCATTTTTAATGTTTTCTTACGAACGTGCCACTCTAAAAAAAAAATGTTGAATTTACTTTACCAAGTTATGTCAACTGGTTCCACTAGATCTAGTTGCTTGAATGTGAAGAGTCACATACATTTTCTTAACGTAAACCAATAACAGTTACTCTACATTTAAGCAACTAGCTTTAGTGGAACCAGTTGACATAACTTAAGTTCATTCAACATTTTATTTTTAGAGTGTAACAGAGATACTGGCCGCCGCTCTAACATTAGAACCTCCCCTGTACAACAGGACTTCCATCCAACAAGCTGAGATCGGCCCAGTTTCTCTAATCTAATAATCTAATCTGTCTGGGCATCCAAAGGAAACACTTGACATCTTCTCGGCTCCATCCCTTTACAAAATCTCAAAAGCAGCATGAGCAAAAATACTGAAGGTTCTTAGATTGAGCAGTTTTTTCTCTGTCTGTAGTTGTTCTGACACTTTCATTGTACATATAAAACCAACGAAGCATTCTAAATAAATAATTGTGTTTCAGAAGCAATAATGCTAAATAGAATTATCAAGCTCATAACTGAATGAAGGGATGGCAATAAAGTCTGGTAGACAATCATGTGGTCGTGAAACAAATTCCCAGTTGTATGTATTTCAATTACAACGGTGCTGAAGAGTATGAAATGCTTCTTTTCACAACATAACACATCTAAAACACTGTTAAAGGTTTATTTTTATGGTTTCTGCTGGTCATGACCATATGGGGGGTTAAGGCCTGAGAGAGGAGGCTTACTGTGGCAGATCTCCTTTGCTGAGTCTTCAACCTTCTGGGCTTCTGAGGTCTCTTTGCAGCAATGGGCACTAAAAAAAATAGGGAACCTTAATCGACTTAAAATGACCATCAGGAGATTTGAACAAACACGTGTGAATGTGTGTTCGAGCTCAAACATGTTCCACATTAACGTTGATCATTTTCTGTCCGCGTCTTTTTAATGGAATTGCTAATATATTTAGAAAAAGGTTTCTATGGAACCGTTTGAAACAATTAAATTCTTACTGATTGTAGGCAGCTCTCTGAAGAGCCTCGGTTTGGAGAAAGGGAGATCAGTGCTGAGCAGGCAGGGGAGCTAATGGCTAATCAGTTTCAATGTGGATTTCTGAAATAGAGCTCAAAAATATGAAAATTATTCACATGGCTGTGAATCTGAACTCTAAATGAATTACACTTCCATCAGAAATGTTAAAGGGAGACCAGGCAGTTTGGGCTTGCTTTTAGCACCCCCTAGTGTGCATTTAGTAGAACTGAAAGCAAAACCTATATCTTGCTGTGCGTTCATCTTTTAACACCTTAATCGTACAGCTGAAAAGTCTCCCCAGCATTCCTAAGTGTCTACAGGAGTGATTCATCGTTAAATTAAACAAATAAGATGTGGTCATGATCTTAAAGATTGGAATTCAATTTCAGGGCTAGAGGGCCGGTCTCCAGCAAGTTTTAGTTTTAACTGTTTCAACAAACCTGATTTCAATCAGCAGGTAATTACCAGGGTTCTGCAGATCCTTATGAGCTGCTGCGCAGTTGATTCAACCACTGAATCAAGTGTGTTGGAGCAAAGGAACGACCAAAACACGCTGCATACCGGCCTTCCAGGCCCGGAATTGAATACGCCTGATCTAAACCATGCAGAAAGCGTGCTGGAAGCAGATTGCAATGCCAGGTATGTCAGCCCCATTTTTTTCTAAGTCCATCAGACCGGACCGGCAACTGTGAAGTTGCAAATAAAATATTCTGGCCTCACAGGGCGATAGGGGTTAGGTGGCCTTTCATTAACCCTGTAAGGGGTTATTTTAGCATATCCTGGCTCAAGAAAATTATTTAAAAATATGAAACTTCACAGTGTCTCTTTAAAAACGTTGCACGTGGAACCAAAATGCTGCAGAATGCACCTTTGCTAAGGTTTACTAGGAATAACTGGATAAATTCTACTTAAAATCAGTTTATAACTAAATGTACCGTACCACAAAGAGCAACGACAGTCACAAGCATGAACTGCTTTAGGTTTGTGAAGATTAGATTTGTTTTAGGACAGCGGTGACCCACATAGGTCCCACTTTGAGAGGTTTGCTCATCATTTTTGTCCAAAAAACAATCTGTTTCTCTAAACTAAGGCTGCTCACAACGGATCATGTCATGACTTTTTCCACAGAAGCCCACTTTAAAATATCTTCAGTCCTTTTCATTGCTGCACTTGCTTTTCATGTGTCTGCACTGCCAGATGAATCATCTCCTAGATATCCTTTACTACCTCACAGCTAAGTTTAAACTGCGCTTCTTGGCACGGTGGCCTCTCTTCGCCTGCTGTGACACTAAAATACCTCCGACTGCATGTGGAATTTGACATGAAACTCAACTTTCAGACGGGGTCAAGAAACTGAACCACGTTTATTTGGGCTGTAAAGTGAAGCTTGTTGCTGCTGAGCTTCTGAAGCTCCCAGTAATCTAATAATATTGCAGTTTTCTGAAATAGATAACTGTCCATCATAAGTTTCATACAGCTCATGTCCATAATGTGGTTGTTTTTTGGGTTTTTGAATGAAAACATTGTTTAAAACTCTCTGGGAAGTTCTTTACCTTTAGTGGGAGTGTGAGGCAGAGGCTCTGTGGGTAGCTTCGGTGGCGCCGCTGTTACTCCTCTGTCCGTTTTCTGTCCTGTGTCTTTTCTCTGGGCTCTCGGGGAGGAACTGGAGCAACTGCTGGAGCTGGTTACAGTTTCTCCAGAGCTAAATCACAAAATGAAAAAAGGTTTCTCTCAAAGTTTTGCATAAAGTAGACAATTTGTGATTTTTGCTGTCGTCTGGTTTGCATTGAAGCAACAGATTCATTTGAGCAGCGAATCAAACCAGTGGTGCATTCACCTTTATATTTTTAATTTATTTGTAAACTCGCCTAATAAATGTTAAGAAAAAGAATCACCTCACGCTTCATTTGGCTCAACAACACAGCCAAGTGTTCTTATATAAACGGTGCGTTTGATGAATGTAAAAATTGAAACTTCATCTGAAATTTACCTTTTATTGCTTAAAGAAACTTGACATAAATAATAATTTATGTAAAACAAAAGGTTTCATACAATGGATAAAATGTTCAATATTTTTACTCTATAAATTACAAAAAGTTCAGTTTCTGTCTCCTGTTTTGTGAGAATTATAAAAAACAACAAACCTGCTTTCTGGACATTTCACCAAAAGATAACTGGCTGTGGAGAGAACAGAAGAAAACATGTATTTTTTTTCTTTTCTTTTAATAAATTAAACATTAAGCTGCACTTGTTAATGCGGGATAAAACTTCATCTAACCTTTAAGCCTGTGTCGTCTGTGGAAGTACTGACAGATTAGGATTAGGGTGAACATGAAGATGGACAGAAGTCCCATGGAGCAGATTAACACGGCACACAGAAACACATCTGGAATCAGACAGAAAAACATATCAATGCTGCATCACTGTCCAGGGAGAGGCTGGTTTTAATTCACGCAAAAGTTTAGCAAATAATAAAAACTGTACCTGCAAATAAAAACCCCACTCCTTTATTGCTGCCATCATCTGGAATAATGTGCACTGTAGAAAGAATTTTTACAAAAAATAAAGATCAGCAAAAACAGCACATAAAATTCTTTGTCTGGACTATATTTGTAAATTGCTGATGTCTGTGGGCAGACAGCCACGGCGGTTTCTAGAAATATCCGAACCTCACTGACATAAAAGCCACACAGGGTACACGACACACCAGCTTTTGCTTTACTGCTGTTCTCGGACACAGTTTGGGGGGTTCCCATCTCTTTGTTTACGATTGTTTTAAATCAATTCACAGCTGTTTTATGTTTTTGTGAAAAACAAAAAGCATAAGGAGATTAAGACATGTGTCTGAAAGACTCTTTGTGAGGTTAGAGGTCAAATTTACGTGTTTCTTCTCCAATGAAAGCATTTTAAAGGTGTGGTTCAATCGTTTAATCAGGACATTTACAGTGGTCACTAGTAGGAATAAATGCCTTGTAAAGGTTGGTTAATGCTTGATGCGTCCGCGAGGTCCGCACGGCTCCGCGCGGCGAAATTGCGTCATTTTAACAACCATGCCCCTCCACCGCGCCTCCGCACGGCCCAAAATTTCCGCTGCGCCGTCAGACGCGGAAAAACATGGCGGACCGGCAAGAGCTAGTATGGCAGAGGTTCGTAAATACAGACATTTGTATGATTCAGCTCTCAGAGATCACCGTGATCAACATGTTGTTAATAATTCTTGGAGAAAAATAGCTCGCACTGTCGGAAAAGACGAGGACGCTGTTAAAAATGCTGGAATACCATGTTGTAAACAACAGTAATTTTTACTTCTACTATGGTGTAGTGTTGGATGCATGCCGTAGAGCTCCATGCTGCCCCCTACAGTTTGGGAGAATATTGGCTCACCGCAGAGACAAGCCGCATGAACCATAAATGCTGCAAGTTGTGAAGCGCATTCCATCCGCGAGCCGCATCACCGCGCGGAAAGTGAATGCGCCAAGCATAAACCAAGCTGAAGTTGTACTCGAGGGTATGCCGGTGCACCATTTCCAGGAACTAGCAGTTACCCACATCACAGCTGAGCTTCAGACTGCGGGTTTTGGAGTTTTATTTCCTGACATCTTGCCTCTGATTGGATACCTGTAATGCGACTCTACCACTGACTTGAAACGTTGATGTTTTCACGTTGAAGTTGCTAATGCTAATGGTTAGCTTTGACTAGTTGGAACATTTGCTGCTGTTTGCTGGACGCTTTATCCAACAGCAGCCTTCCCCGTCATGAGTCAAGAAGTTGGGTCCATGAATATTAAGAGACAGTTTGACATGAATGTGACAGGCCTTTCAAATCCTATTTTCTACCGGAAGATAATGCAGGATGAAGGTGTGGGAGACTATTTTCATGGTTAGCCTGCATTAAAAACTCAGAGTGACTGATTATAATCAGAAAAATTTTAAAAAAGTGTTTTCAGTGTCCCACACCTTTAAAACAACATGACATAAACTTCAACCAACTTCAAGCCTTTTTGCAGAAAACGTAACTGTGTAAACCAAATAATGAGAACAGTAGACATGTAGGTTGACAGCTGATGTAATTATCATGCATCTTTTGTAAACAGTTATTATTCAGTCAAATATCTCTAAACCAGACTCCCAAAACCACAAGATGAACCTCAGAGCTGATCAGTGCAGGCAGTGTGAGGTCAACAGGTTGGTTGTCGGGGAGCATTTATATCTACACATGTTCTACAGATGTACAACTCACAGCGCAGCAGTGGTGCCACGTTTATGCAGAAAGCACATATACAGGCCAGGAGGAACAGGTACAGATGTGTTCAGAGGTGTAAAGACAAAAATGTGAAAAGATAAACCAGAACATGAATCTGGCTGTCAGTATGACTCAACCTGGATCCTGTTGGATATGATCTGTACTATGCTGGAAAGCAGCAGAAAGCATTTACATGGAGGTGTGGAACGGACAAAAACATGGAGAAATGTACTGGTCTTAGTGGTGTAGCAGGCTGAAACAGAAGAGTGAGGGGTTCCCCAGTCTGCAGCTTTTTTCTCTGTTTTCTCCCCCAGCGTCGGCTTTTGTGTTTCTACTTTCTGAGGTTGGTGCATGTCTTGGATGCCTGAGGTTGTGTGGCTTCCTTGGCGGGTTCTGAATTAGGGCAGGGCGTTGTTGGATGGTTGTGTCTGTCTAAAACCAGCGTCATTTCCTGGCATCAGACCAGTGAGAGGTAAGTTATGTGTAACTGGGTCACATGTGGCCACAACAAAGTAGATTTCAAAACAAACAGTTGGAGAAATATCTCGTTTTCAAGAGTTTTTTCTCCTTTTTGCTGTTTTACGGTTTTACGAAGTCCAGTTGCCTTTTCAAAAACAGATGGTGCATATTCAAGTCAAGTTTGGGATTTTGGATCAAAACAAAGAACAATATCATAAAACTATTAAAAATCCAGTAAGATAAAGCAGTTCTTGCTGAAAATGGTTAGTTTGAAACGGTTTAATCAGCTTCTAATTCTGCATTTTCTATTTGTTGTTGATTTCTGCAGAAACTAAATAAGTTACACCTCATTTATGGTGATTTTCTTTTTCTCTTGAGACTTGCAAAAAAAGAAGTTCAGTAAACCAAAATGTTGACGTCATTTTTTATAAAGCTTCAGAGTATTGCCAGCTCAGCAGCACTACTTTTTCCTCCTCATAGTCAAACATAGCGTGATATTGTTGACTGTGTGAGATCATTGTTTTGGAATGGAAATGCCAGAGGTCTGGGGTCACACTCCAATAGCTCTTGATATTGCAGCTTGAGTAAGCACACATGCAAAACATTTATGTTGCTCATTGTTTGAAGAAAATAACAAAAAACTGTTTTCATGGTCAGAAAACGTGTGGGCCTCCTGTGGTTTTGAGGGAATTTTAGAACAAATTTCCTCTCAAAAAGTTTCTTTGGAGGAATTTCATCCCGAAGTTCCTTTTGTTTATCATTAGGACTTATTTAACACTGATGCTAAGCAAACACAGAGGGGTCAGAAATATTAAGCACTCTTTAAAGAGACAATGTGTTGTTTAAACTGGAAACATCATTCTAAATGCTGTTGAAAATGAATCAAATAATGCCCAGTTGTTGGAAAAATACTGGTGGCTTTGTAACATATAACCATAAAAATCAGGTCTAAAATACACGAGTGTTTCTCAATGCCAAGAAACATAGCCTTGATGTCTTGGTCCCGCCCTGGTTGCCTAGGAGATACGTCATCAGGAACCGCCAAGGCGTGTTCCAATGTTCATGTTCTACCGAAGTGTGTGTTCTCCATTTGTTAGCCATGTAGCTAGCTGAGCAAGGATACACGGGAGGTGCCTTGTTTTCTGGCCTTGGTCAATCATTTCCCAGAATACAGCACAATATTTTCTAAAAGATCAGAAGCTGCCAGCTACTTCGGGGAAAAATTTCCAGTTTAAATGTAAGTCAACAAATTGTAGTTATCGGGCTGATATCTGAATTATTTATTCATTATTATTTATTTTTATATATCCAAAGCAGTTTTCTATGGTTGGTTAGTTGCTTAGTAGTTGCAGCTTCGATGGCTAGCAGGTAGTAATTCACTTACGTAGTTAATTTAACCAATATATATCACAATTTAATAAGAAAAGGCTCCTTATGCAATTATACTGAAACTTATACGTATAAAATATAACGTTACCTCCCATGTCACATGACGTTACATGACTGCCACAGAAGACATTGTCTTGCAAGACATCGCCTTGCGAGGCCAGGCGCCATGACATTGAGAAACACCCTAAGTCTCTGGGCGACGCTATATTAGATGCAATTTTTCCTTCTATGGGAGCCCGTGAAGACAAAACGCATTTACTGATTTGTAAAAAATGGTTACAAAAGTTTCACCATTCCAAAACGTTTTACACATTAACCTCTTCGCTCGTTACCGGTGATGTAAGGGAGTCTGATGTGCTTGTCATCCTGCTGGAGGTTGTGCTCCCAGGGGCTTTGACTCTAATTGCCATCCGTTGGTGAGGTTTTACCCAAACAAAATAATAATTCATAAACTCAATGTCATTTATCACAGCAATCCGTTTCGTCACTGGTGCCCCTCTCACTACTCATCATTGTGATCTGTGATCACTCGTTAATTGACCATCACTCCAATCCTGCAGGTTGTTACCTTGGTATCAATTTATATATAAAACAATCATCATATCTTTGCTCATTACTCTTCACTTCCAACAACCAGCACAATTTACATTCCAGTAACTTAATCTCTATGGTTATTCCCAAAGCTTGCACCTCATTCCAGTTTGCTGCGTCTAACGACTGGAATGAACTGCACAAATCACTGAAGCTCACTTCCTACATTCCATTATCTACCTTCAACAATTCATTTTATCTACCTTCAACAATTCATTGCAGTCAATAGTTTCTGATCAATGTGCCTCCATCTGAGTACTTAAAGACTGTTTTAAGTCTGTTTTGATTGCTTGTACATATTGTAAATGAGGAAAGTCAGTTGTCTTTATGTCTAATTGTTTCATCTTATTTTTGTCTTGTATTTGTTTTATCTTATCTGTTTTTCTTGGACTTAAAACTATGTGTCTATTGCTGCTGCCTCTTGGCCAGATTGTCATTGTACATGAGAATGAGTTCTCAATCGACTCATCTAGATAAATAAAGGTTAAATAAATAAAAAACACATAAAGAGCCCTGTACTAGAGACCAATAGTTAAAAGAAAGCTGTCAATCAACAAGGGTGTGCCTTACTTGCCAGCATAGACATGCCTTCATCAACTTAGCCCGTGAAACTAGCTTGATTGGAAGATGAGAGAGGGGAACGAGAAGGGAACTATCTTTTTTGTGTTCGAGTGATTAGTTCAACTGTACACTACATCGGGCTATTGTTTTAGCCTGTTTTAGCATTAGCAGGGGTGTGCTAGCATCATGAATGCCAGATTCTTGCTGGTTGTAAACGTTTCCTTGCTTTAGCACTGCAGATTTGATTAAAACAAGTAATTAGCAGCTCCTGCAGAAGGCTGAGGAGATAATTTAGCAGTTAGAATCAAGTGTGGCTGAGCAGGAAGATACCAAAAATATTACTTTTTCCATTAGAGTGTGTGTGTATGTGTGTGTGTGTGAGTGTGTGTGTGTGTGTGTGTGTGTGTGTGTGTGTGTGGCGTGGTTTTCAGCTCCTTCCAGAAGGGGAGCAAGGGTAGGAGATGCAGCTTCAAATTTTAAAATCTTCTCCTCCTTGCCTTGATGGCGTCATACTACGGACCCCAGCTAAACAGTTTGGATCTGACAAATGCAAATTTTAAGTGTATTTATTCTCAAATTAAAGATGCTTCCCTTTTCTTGTTCAAGGAGGAAGAATTTAACAGATGTGAGTGAAAAAATGGGTCGGAAAGGATCTCAAATCCAAAACTTCTTTGCCAAGAGGAGGCTTTTTTCCTGATTATAATGTAATTCAAAGGAAAAAATGATTGAACATGATGACTAATAATGACCGCCTGATTCAAACTGCTGACATTTGTTACAAAAAAGATGAATTTCTCAAGCCAAAACCAGCCTGAACAGACAGACTGACCGATTGCTCTGCAAGCCAATAGTGAGCTGAAATGAAATGAGTGCATTGAGATAATACAACAAAAACACACACAGGAAATGAGTGAAGTGGAAATGACTTCCTTAAACTGGTCACCTTACCCTTAAAAGCTTCTCAGCATGTGTTAATCCACTAAAGCTGAAACCTCACTTTGTTTTAGGACCTCCTGGTTTACACATCAGGCCTGAAGGGTTTTCTTCTTTACCAAACAAAAAACGTATAATTCTGCTGCCTCTGACCACCACGGTCGGCGGATCAGGAGAAATGCAGGCCTGCAGATGAGGGAAGGGGGCATAAATCCTTCTTCCAGATTATTTTTACATTCCTAACTATACCTAGCTTCTGTAATCCCACAACCTTGCACCAGTAAGAGTCATTTGTGTTTAAATTAAATCAATTTTACCTGTCAACTGTATGGAGCTGGTGCCATTAGAGGAGGCCCTCCACGTGTTTTTGTGTTTGCGGATCTCCTGAACTCTACAGATGTAGGAGCCCTGATCCATCCCCGTCACACCTAGGATGAGCAGCCGGTACAGTTCGCCGTCTCCGTCATCATCATACAAATGAAACTTTGGCTGGGGGAAACGACGGGTGTAGTTCCCATACAGCTTCATTTTCTTTATGCCCATCCTCACAATCAGAAACTGAGGAGGGCCAGGTGTAGGAGGAGTGGTGGGTGGAGTAGAAGGAGGAGGAGTGAGAGGAGAGAAGAACCAGCGAAGGATGAGGACACTGTTGCTCCTCTTCCTTTGAGACACCAGACAGGACAAGGTCAGGTTTTCTCTCTCGGTCACGAAGACGGCAGGTCCAGGGGTGACTGTCACATTCAGGGTGTGACATACGTCTGGTGGCACAAAACACAAATGTCACAGGTGATATTTCCATTTCACATTCTGAATTTAAGCCCCTAAATATTCATCTTCAAACAAATAAAACAATCCAATATGTGCACCTAGTCTAAATATGTCTGAGACTGGTGTTGTTTCATTTTCCCTCGCAACTATTGTTTCGATTTACTGGTTTACGACGAGATGTTTATGACACAACCGCAGAAGACATTCTTGCATTAGCATAAGTCACACAGTCCCAGTAAGAGCTTGCGTGCGTGACTCCTCCCAGCTGCTTTAAATTAGAGAACAGCTGATAATTCGACCCACACGCAAAACTCAAGATTTCATCCTTGCTAAATTGTATTTTCTGACATTTACACTTAACATTTTAAATAAACTAAATCCATGCACATGCTTGCCACGGCTTGTAGGATTCATGCAGCCGGAGATCAGACTATCACTGGTTTTGCTTAAATTTGTCATTCCACCACGAGATGGGAATTCAAAACAAGACCAGGATTCATAAACAAAACTTTTCTGGGAGTAAAAATCAAGTTGAACTTCCTTATTTCCCTTTTTTTTAATGTATTTGTGTCTTTTTCTGATTCCAGCTGTGACATAGCTGCCTTAAAAAAAATCAGAAATACCCAAAACACGTGTGAGTAGCAGGAAAGCAGACGCTACAGGTGAGAAACGTTCATCCTGACTGAGGGACAACTCAATACATGCAAGATAACTGGGACCATGTGTGTGTGTGTGTGTGTGTGTTCTCATAAACAAACGTTTAACCAATGAGCAGCTTAGCATAGGAAAAATAAAATAAAAATGCAAGTTTTGTGTTAATTATCCTAAAAAATAAACTCAACTCTGCAGCAGTTTCCAACAGAGCACGCAGGAAAGTTTTTGCCAAGTTGAAGAAAGGTTAAGCCACATGCAGGGTTTACGTGAGTCAAAGTTTTATAATAAATATAATTAAAGTTTGTTTGCATATGTCACTTCTACTGTCTTCTTTAAGTAAACATGGTGAACTTACCTGTGACCAGAGCCTTAATCAGGACAAGGACCACTACAGAAAAGTACATTTTCCACAGTCAGTGAATCCATAAACCCAGACAACTGCACAGCCCTTGGTCAAGCAGCTACACTGAAAACAGAGCCTGACTGCACAGCCCACCAGAGCCCTCACCCACCATTAACTCCTCTCCTCTTTCTCCTCTTTTCTCTGTAATATGAAACAGTAAAGGCTCTGTTCCCACTTAAAAACTCCCACTCGCTCCCTCACTCTCCCTCCAACTGTCTCCGTCAACCTCCCCGTGTTTTTCCCTCTGTGTCCTGCAAAAAAACGTAGGAAATGTCATTTCCTGTGCTCCTGCGAGTGGGTGTTGGATCAGGGCCCAGCACCCTCCAGAACTGAGGTGATGGTCACAGGTCACGGATTGCTTATCTTGCACGTTCAAGGAAAACTTGCAACGTTTCTGTTTATATTTACAAGCAGCTTTGTGTGTGTGTGTGTGTGTGTGTGTGTGTGCTCTGTGTTTGTGGTGGGACCTCTCCCTGTCTAACTCCTGGACAGAGTGGCATGGGCTCGTCTCTGGCTGTGGTTGTCAGACTGTCCCAGTGGTATGAAGCCTGCTGCTTTATTGGGCAGGCTAAACTGCTGAGGCAGGGCTTCTGCTGGCGCTCTGAGCTCTGCCAAAGCCAAATAGAATTACACAACACATTTAACCCCTCAAACAGCATGTAGATTCTCTCAGAAAGTGTGGAATCAGTGGAAAAAGCACTGGCAGGCTTCTCTGGAAGGTTTAATCCATTCTCACCTTGAGAAGGCAGCAGTTGTATTATCTGTTTGGTTTTAGTTTAATTAGATCAGATCATGTTAAGTTTTGTGACTTCAGGGTCGTGTTTCAATATGTCAAAAGTAGCATTTATTTGGGATTTCCCAGAAGTTCTAGTGCTGTTTTTGTTCTAAGTTCAAGGAGTCGCTCTCCTCTGCCCTGCAGTGGTCAGTGCAGGTTACTGCTTCTCAGGGGTCCGTCTCTTTCTCCAGTTATAAAGAAAGTAAAGTATGTTTTCATTCAGTGTTTTTTTATTTTCTCTCATTGATGTAAATCCTGAGAATCTGAAGTTTTATTTAAAGCTCTCGGTGGCATTATCTGCTGCAGGCCTCCAAGTGGATCTTTCTTTTGAGCTGATCATGACAGAGAGGGAAAAAATGGAAATTATTTAACAACCCCTTACCAAAAACAGTGTAATCTCTAGACTATGTGAATGATAAAAAGATGAAAAGGGGTCAGCCTGTTCAGGGTGTAGTCCTCCTCTTGGGAGAGGCTGGTTGTGAAACTTAGATGAAATAATTTAGAAAACCTTTACTGATGAGCTGACCCGTTCATTTAAACAACCTTGTGTTTAATAGTGCGTTACATGTTGAGCAGAGGGCACTCAGCTGAACAATATCATTCATTTTCAGCATTTCTGTTTGAATTAAACGTTCTCACGATATTTTAAAAATAACATTATTGTATAATTACCTCACAAAAATGATAAAATCTCACATTATAAAACAAATGATGCAAAACGCAACTTGTGCAGTTATACTGTATTAAATACCTGGATTTACTTTATTATTATAGATTTAGACAGTGTGCGAATGTCATCATGTAAAAAAAAAGTACCCTTTTAAAATTGTGATGCACTGCATATGCTCAGGAAAGGCATATTTTTAATAAATCAATACAATTTCTCCAATAAAACATTTTTATTTCTGCAAATAAAGATGGAAATCCTGCTCCAATCATTTCTATGTGTATTTATAAGCATTTTATCTTCCTTATTTGTCAAAATAAGGCTGTGGGCATTGTTTTTAACCCTTTGATGTCAACACTCAAGAATAAAGCAAAATAATTTGTTCATATATTTATGGTTGACCCGTTCGTTTGGGGCAATTAGGGTTATGATACAACACTGGGCAATAATAATCTTTATTGATAAATATTTTTATTCAAGCATCTTCATATTAAACTGTGTTTTTTTTAAGTTAATTCAAGTTTGGCCATTCTTGAAAATAATTAACCTTGTGCTCATTCTTCACATTAGTATTTTCAATTTCATGAGCTACACAATAAATAAATAAAAACATAAGAAATGGCTACAAAAATAATAACAAAGGATGATTTTTTTTATTGTCTGAATAAGTTCATGTCATGCTTCTTCCACAGCAACACAGAAACATTCCTAAAAACCTTTAAATGATTTCTGTAAGAAACAAAACATATTGTTGTATTGTGCTTATTTCAAATCTGTTGCTGAATACACAAGTTATGCATTAGAGTCACTGAAACTCTTGGATTATTAAAGTTGAGTATTTCATGCATCACATTAAACCAAAATAGGCATTCACAAGCAAGAGAGAGAGGAAACCTAAGCGGTCTTGTTGGTGTTTGCTTGGTTTTGTCCAAGTACAAGGCAGAACAAGAGTGTGATGATATTATTAAGATGGGAGACATATTGTAGCTTCTCACATTCAAAAGTCAAATGGAATGGTGAACTCTTTAATACAATAAATAAAGAATACAACAGCTAACCTCTGTAAAAAGCAGCAGTTTAAGAGCTTGTCTCCTTCCACTACAATCCACAATTTTAGTCTGTAAAGAAATTTGACAATTTCACTTCTCTATCCACACATTGTCTTTTTAATTTTTCATTATTTAATAAAATATCTATATCTTCTTGTCAGTCTTTGTTTTCACCAGTCAGAAATCTCCATGAAATCCTCCAGATCCCTCATGGCTATGATGTCACGGGGCTCACACAGCGAGTTAGCTGGGTTGTCGTCTTCACTTCCTAAAAGTTCACTGCTGGTTTCAAACTGTGGGAACGACTCAGGTGAATCCTGGGTGCTGTTTACAGGGTTGTACGTTCTGTTTTTTTCATTAACTGTGTCCATGTACGGCGTCTTCTCTGGACTGTAGCGACGCTCTTCAGAGGTCTGCTGGACTTCTGTAGAAACGTGGCTCTCTCTGGGACGTTGCTGGTCTTGGTGAAGAGCTGCAGGGGCTGTTGACCTGTTGGGGTGTGCAGAGTTGATGACCGCTGGCTGGTAGCTTTGGGGATAACTTGGGTAACCTTGGTAAAACACAAACGATTTGCCGGGTATAGACCCCTGGGGGAGGGGCTGTTGTTGGGACTTGAGTGGGACTTGAGTTGTTGGCTGGGGCTGAGACTGGGAAACACTCTGACCCGACTGTCTCACATTCAGTTGAACATACTTTCCTGTTTCAGGATCAAAGAATGTCTTTGTTTTGACTTGAACGGGCACTTCCACTACAAAATACTGACCGGACCCCAAGTCTTGCAGGACCCTGTGCTGGGTCAGTGGGTAGGACTGGTGGTAGTGGCTTGGCTCTACTTGGTACTGTGTCACTGGAGTGGAGTGGGGATGGATTAAATGGGAAATGGAAGGAAAGGAAACATGAGCAACTGTCGTAGGAGCGGCGGGGACAGAAGCATGACGAGACACAGGAGGAAGGGGAACTGTGGGGGCTGCATGAGGAGAGGAACTGGGGAGGGAGATTGGACCAGTGGCATGAGGGGAAGCATGAAAGGAGTGGTGAGAAGATTGGTGTTCTGTCTGGGAAGAAGACGAGCTAGATCTCAGAGAAGAAGCATGAGCAAAGGCTATAGGTGGGGAAAAATGAGGAGAAGCCACAGCATGATGGTTGGAGGACCATACCTCAGCAGAGGGGGGCAAACTGGAGACTTCCGCCACTTTGGACAGTTCTTTCTTCATCCGTCGAGTTGTCAACCTCTGAGCTCTGCGCAAGGCTTTGTCACTCTTTGGTGGAACAACTGGAGGTTTGCCCAGAGAACGTGACACGTCACTGCTGAAGCTGCAGGCTGATTCAGGTCTCTCATGGTCAAACAGACCTCGAACGTCTGCCACGTCTGTTGCGTTGGTTGCAATGCTCTCTACATCTTCTGACATGTTGCTGATGACAGAACGAGACTCATCTTCATCCAGTGCCAAACTTCTCCTGGAGTAGGACCTTTGATGGGAGAAAGAGGTTGAGTAGTCCTGGAGTGAAGATGCTGATCGGTTCAATCCCTTGTTAGACATAACAGGGGTCCCCGCGCTTCGTCTCATCATCTCCTGTTCATCTTCTACTCTCTCTGAGGGTAAACCCATCCAAAAATCCTCTCCAAAGTTCTTATGGAAGCGTGGTTTGACTGACTTGGTGAGAGAAGAACCTCTGATGGTGTTGTCCTTCACTCTGAACATCCAAGGCTTGCCTCCTGGAGCAGGGGAGGAGGTGTTAGAACGAGGCAAAGATGAACCTGGAGATGCAGCAGAATGTGGTCTTTGAGTTCTGGTGTGGAACGCGGAGTCATCACTGGACTCGGAGGTTATAGCATAGTACTGGGGAGCATCTGACGTTGATGCTTCTTTATGTTGCATCTCTGTTTGAATGGAGCTTGCATTTTCTTTGTGGAAGGCTGACCTTTTGTCATCACATAAATAATTTTCCACTTTGGTTTGCACTGGATCTTGTGCCATTGCGTTATTCCCAATAAGAATAATGTTCCCAGTTTTTTTATTTTTGTCATTGTTTTGTCTCGTGATTTCTTCGTTTTGAGCGTTTATCTTTTCTCCCCGCCCCTCTGAAGTTTTCATCCATTGTTCTTTTATGTGTCTTTCTTCCATCAGTTCTTCACTCTTCTGCTGCTGAGTCTGTTTAATTCTCTTTTCCTCTGGATGAATAGCTGCTTTCTCATCCCGTCTTGGTTTTCCCTCCCTTTCCTCTAGAACATCGGTAGCTATTTTGTCATAGATCTGTTTAGTCTGCGATTGGTTCCCAATCTGAGCTGCTCCCCATTGCTTTTGCTGCTTCTGTTCTTCACTTCTCTGTTTTTCGTCTTGTACTGATTGTTTCTGTTGTTCTTGTAAAACTTTTCCATAATTCTCCATTTGAAAAGCTCTCCTTTGATGCTTCTCTTGCTCAGCTTGCTTGAGCTCTTCCTCCATAACTTTTCTCTGTTTTTCGTCTTGAGCAGCTCTTCTTTGCTCGGTTTCTTTAGCATCTTTCCTCTTTTGCTCCACATGTTCAGATACCATTTGCACTTCTTGTATATGCCTCCTTTGTTCCTTCACTGAAGCAACTCTCCTTTGCTCTTCTTCTGCAGTTCTTCTCTGTAGCTCTCCATGTGCAAGTTGTGTTTGTTGGTCTGCATGAACCACTCTGCTTTGCTCTGCTTGCAGAATCATTCTGCTCTGCCTCTCTCCTTTAGCAGCTCTTAGTTCATGCTTGTCTTCAGCAACTTTATGCTGTTTATAATCTTGAACAGCTCTTCTCTGCGGCTCTACATGTACAGCTCTATTTTGCTGCTCTGTTTGTGTAAAAGTAATTTGCTGCTCTACATATGCAGCTGTATTCAGTGGCTGTATATGTGCAACTTTATTCTCATGCTCTATATGCACAGCTCTATTCTGTTGCTCTACTTGTGCAGCTCTATTATGTTGCTCTATACATGGAACTCTATTCTGTAGCTCTACGTGTGCAGCATCATTCTGTTGCTCTACATGTGCATCATTATTCTGTTGCGCTATATATGGAGATCTGTTTTGTTGCTCTACATGTGCAGCTATATTATGTAGCTCTACATTTGCAGCATCATTATGATGCTCTACATGTACAACTCTACTATGTTGCTCTATATATGGAGCTCTGTTCTGTTGCACTACATATGAAGCTCTGTTCTGTTGCTCTACATGTGCAGCATAATTCTGTTGCTCTACATATGGAGCTCTATTCTGTTGCTCTACATGTGCAGGGTTATGATGTTGCTCTACATGTGCCGCATAATTCTGTTGCTCTACATATGGAGCTCTATTCTGTTGCTCTACATGTGCAGGGTTATGATGTTGCTCTACATGTGCCGCATAATTCTGTTGCTCTACATATGGAGCTCTATTCTGTTGCTCTACATGTGCAGGGTTATGATGTTGCTCTACATGTGCAGCTTTATTTAGTTGTTCTATATATTTAGCCCTATTCTGTTGCTCTGCATGTGGAGCTCTCTTCTGCTGCTCCATGTGTGTAGCTCCTTGCTCTTGCTCCGTTTTTTGTTGTTGCTCAGCTTGAACAAATGTTCTCTGTTGCTCTTTTTGTGAAGCTATTTTCTGTTGCTCTATATATGCAGCTCTTCTTTGTTGCTCCTCATGAGCAAATTTCCTTCTTTGCTCATCTTGTGCCAGCCTCTTTTGCTGCTCTACTCCATCAACTCTCCTTTGCTCTTCTTCTGCAGCTCTCTTCTGTTGCTCTACATGTACCAGTCCCCTATGTTGCTCCTCTTGAGCAGCTCCACTCTGTTGCTCCTTCTGGGCAGTTTTTATTTTGTGTTTCTCTTCAGTATATTGACTCTGTTGTTGGTCATGTGCAGATTTCCTCCTTTGCTCCTCTTGTGCTAGCCTTCTTTGCTGCACCATTTGGGCAGTTCTCATTTTCTCTTCTTCTGCTGTTGTCCTCTTTTGATACTCCTTGGCAGCTCTTCTTTTTTGATTTTCTAGAGCAGCTTGTATCTGCTGCTCTTCATGTATAGATTTCCTCCTTTGCTCCCCTTGTGCCAGCCATCTTTGCTGTTCCACTTGAGCAGATCTTATTTGCTCTTCTTTTGCTGTTCTCCTCTGTTGCTCCTCTTGTACCGGCCTCCATTGTTCCCTCTCGTGGGAGGCTTTCTTTTGCTCCTCTTTTGCAGTCCTGCTCGGATGCTCTCCGTGAGCACTGCTCTCCTTCTCCTGTTGCTTTAATCTCCTAGCGTCATCTTCTCCTACTCTGAAAACGTTCTCACCCCCAATCTTTATTAATTTCCTTTCTGCATTTTCTGTTCCATCTTCTTCTTTTTGTTTTGTATGTACGTGCCCTCCCTTTAGAAGAACTTTCTGCTCTTGTCTTTGTTTGGATTTGATTTCTTCTCCTGCTCGTACCTCTGATTGTCTTTGTTTTTCTCGCCTCTCCTTGATCATAATATTGACAGCTTCACGCTCCTTTGCTCTTCTCTCCTCTTCTCTTCTGCAGGCTTTCCTCTGTTCTTCAGCCAGAGATGCTCTGCTCTCCTCTAGCATGTGTTTTATTTTTGTGTCCTCTTCATCGTTTTTCTTTTCATGTCTGAGCATTTGTTCTTCGTTGCATTTTTGTTCCTGACTCTGCTGCTTTGTTTTGGTTTCTTCGTGCCGATTTGAAAGCTTTTGTTGTTTTAGTCTACTGGTCCCCCCATCCTCAGCTCCAGCCTCAGTGTCTTTAGTTTGTTGTGTTTCAGGTCTCTCGTCTTTCTCCAGTTGACTTGTGTTCTCTTTCTTTTGCCCTAAAGTTGCACATAGAATTAGTTTTTTGTCTGTCAGTTCAGTTGGAGCCACCACTTGACTTTTTGGCTGACTTGAACTTAGATCGAGTCTTTTGGTGCCGGTTTGAGCTGTTGGCGACTTGTTTGTCTCTTTGTGGCTGGAGTGGATTTCCACATTTTCCTTTGGACCTGCATCCATTTGACTATCTGAAACTATTCTCTCTGATCTTTCTTTACCTCCCAGTTTGAACATCCCCGTTCGCTGGTGCTCCTTCTCAGTAATAGGAAACATCATCTCTTTGGGTTCTTTAATCGTTTTAGTGGTAATCTCTGTTTTATTTGCCAACTTTCTGTCTTTTACCAGTGGCTCATTTGGGTGGTTATCACTGAACACAGGACGTCTACTTGGACGAGTCTGTATTAGAGGGAAGAATCCTTCTTTTTTGTTGGGAGGGAAGTCCTGAGGTGTCGTGTCCTCTTTGTCCTCTGAAACAATCACCTTTAATCTGGCATAGTCTGCAAGCGCTGATATAGTCGGTACTGTGGAAACTCTTCCTTCAGGTTTCGGTTTAGCTTCGGGCTTTTGTGGAACTGAATAGAATTTGGTTGAGCGTGAATCTTTTAAAATCAGTTTTTCCGCTGATGAGGAATTAGGCTGGTTGTCTTTGCGGTGGGATTGATTGTGTTGATCTGCCTCTCTTCCTCCAGTGACACATTGTCTGTCCTTCGAACCATCTGCCTGTTTTAAACCCAGGTTGTCGTCTTTTTCCTGATTTGTTCTTAGGATGTCCTCTTCTTGATCCTTTCCTAAACGTGCTTTATTTTCCGTTTGATCCAGAGCGAGCATGAAGACCTGCTGGTTTAATCCATCGCTGGTCTTGTTCGGCACCACTGGTAGCTCCTTTTCCTTGAATTCATCTTCAGCATTAGTTGCACTACTTTGGGTCCCATTGCTTGCTTCTGTTACTCCTTGTATTTGGAAGTAGCCTCCTTCCTCTGGTGATGCGTTAGATCCAGGCCCTCCATGTTCAGATTTACATGTGCTTGTGCTGTCTGGTTTACTGCTTGCTTTCAAAGAGTCAGACAGCTTTCTCACACTTGACAACACATGTTGCACAGCTGATTTATCTTCCAGGCTTTCCTGCCTTTTCTGTTTACTACTTGCTGAAGGAAAGGTTTTCAAGCAGCGCTCATCGATTGCTTTCTCTTCTCTACATGCAGCTATTTTCAAACTGTCCTCTTCGGTGGCTGATGGAACAACTCGGATGGCGATGGTGTCGATGTGTACATTGACGTCTTGATTTGCTTCTTTGCTCTGTTCTGAGTTAGATTGTAATTTTTCATTCTCGGCTGAATCTTTGGAAAACGACTCTTCCTCTGGAAGTGGTGCAGTTTGGCCATCGATGCTTTTGGAAGATTTTATTGCAATAGAGAAATCTCCTTTGCTGTTGTTTATGTCAGAGTTGGCCGGGTGGGTAGTAGATGTTTTATTTACTTGTGATTTCTCTTTTTCTTGTTGATTCATCTCTTCTGAGCTTTGCACCAAATCATCTTTTACACTTTTTGTCATGATGCATTTAGCTTCTTGTACATTTGTGTCTTGCTTGAAGAGGACTGATTGCTTTTCTGTCAACTCTTTATCCGTAGTACGTGCAGTAAAAAGTTCTCCCTGTGGTTCTACACTTGCAGAAGAATTTCGCTGCAGATTTGTCATTTTGTCTGTGACTTTTTCAATCACGTCTTTCGTTTTTGTCTCCAAAATGAAAACTTCTTGGACATTTTCAGTGCTGTTGTATTTAACAACTTCAGCTGGATCTTCCTTTAATGCAGACTGAGTTTTCTTTTCCTCTTTTGCTTTTACCTTGCTAACTTCCTTTGCACAGGTGCTTTCTTCCTCTGCTGGATAGCCCTTCTCTGCCTCCGAGGTTTTGCACTCTTGTTCAGCTGAATTTTGTTTTCCAGGGCTGTTCTTTCCCCAATCCGTGTTCATCAATGGATTTCTCTCTCTGATGGTTACCATTATTCCCGTGATCTCCAGGCTGTCGTTTATTGCGGTGGTGTCTTTCTGTCCAATCACAACACTCAGCGCTTCTGAGTCATGATTTGATGCTTTGGTACTTCCACAGTTCTCTGTGGTCTGAAATTTGGAGTTTGCAGCTTTCACACCTGCAGCTTCTGTTTGATCTTTTGTCTTTTCACTAGTAATTTCTCTCATGTGTGCTTGCTGGAGTTCCTCTTTCTGTCTTCCAGATGGGTCTGTGGAGTTTTCTTGCTCTTTTACTGGATTGTTTTTCACAATTTCTTTCTCTTTACTTTTCATCTGTGACTTCATCCCAACTTCTTTCTGCATATTCCTCACAGTTCTGCTCGTTGCGCTGTTTTCCGTATGTTCTACAAGCTGATCGTTGGTTGTCGCAGACTTTACTGTCGCTGAGCTCCGGACTGGCTCAGACTTGGCTGGTTCTAGTCGTGAATGTTCCATCTTTAATGGAATATTGTTAAATGCTTCCTGATTCTTAGGCGCTTCCTGTGATGGAGGTTTCTGTCGAACGTTGGCACTCTGACCACTTGCTAAATGCTTGGTTGAACCTTTGCCTATAAACCCTTCTCGTAAAGTCAGTCCCTTTTCTCTTATTGCTGAAATTTCTTTTTCGGCATGAGCTTTTATTCTGGAAGTCAGGATTTCCTGCTTAGTCTGCGCTCTCTCTTTGTGCAGTAAAACTCTCGGTGAAGTAACAGGTAGCTCTTTACCTGGGCCGGTGGTTTGCTCATTCAAGTCAGCTTTTCTTTCAAGAGGATTGAGTTTAGCCACGTCAGAATCTCTTAGCTCTCTTACCGACGTTTGGTCATCCTTTGACTCATGGACACGGTCATCATTTGCTTTAGTACACAAAGCCGTGGGACCGGAGTTAGTGTTGGATAGTTTGAATTCTTTGGATGGCTCCCCATGACACACCAGGATCTCCTCCTTTTTTCCTGTGTTAGCTTTTGCCAGACCAGGTTCATGTTTATTTGTCTCATTATTTCCTATCCCAGCTTCTTTGAGAGATGTAACTTCTGTTTTATTAGCATCGGTTGTTACACTTCCTGGTGTCATGAGGTTTGTTTTTGCAGCATTTGAAAAACCATATTTTTCCCAGGGTCGATCATAACCCTTAGCATCCCTGTGACTCGGCATCTCATCCAGTTCACCCGGCTTTATGTTGTCTTTGTTTTCTTCTGGAACCATCCTTAAAGGAATTTTGTGTTTTGTAGCTTCATCTTCTTTTACGGCTGCATTGTTTTTTACTTTCTCCTTTTGGTCTCCTCTCATCTTCTCCTTTATTTTGGCTAACTCTGCTTTAGCTTTAGCTAACTCTGACTTGACTTGCTCGACTCTGTCTGGTTCATTTCTGACCGGCTGAGCTGCTGTAAGTTTAGCTGTGAGGTTTTCGGAGCTCTCCTTCAGGTTTACTGCTTTAGACCGCTCCTGTTTGTTTTCTTCTACCTTTTCCTGTTTGCCTTTTGTCTCTCTGGCCAGGATTTCTGCTTTATGTGAGCTCACTTCACCTTTACTACTCGAATCTTTCATATCCTTAGGTCGTCGGACATTCTCAGCTGTAACGCAGTCTCTTTCAGCCTCTGATGCTTTAACTTTGATTCCTTCGGTTTTGGTTTGTGTCTCCTTCATTTCTTCTGCTTGCTGTGTTTTTCTGTCTTCAGTCTGTTTAGTATTTTCTGTCTTGACTCGTTCAGCCTCGATCTCCTCCTCTGGTTTTATACTTTTCCCTGTGGCTTCTTCTATGACAGCTTGTTGTGCTCTAACCGTCTCAGCCTCCTCAGACTTTGCAGGTTGGATTTGAACATGTTCCTTTTTTAGCTCCTCTGTTTCTGTGATCTCTGCTTTCACCTGCTCCTCTCTCGCGTGCTCACACCCGACTTCATCTGTAATAATCTCAGCCTCGTCTGAAATCAGCTGAATTGTTTTTGTTTCTTTCTCTCCATCTGTCTCTGGTTCTTTTTCTCCGACCTGCTCGTCCTGTTCTCCTCTCCTCTTCTCCTCTTTAATCTCTTCATGGGTTTGTCTTAAACTCTTAGTTTTTGTTGGGTCTGATTTGGACTCCTCTATTTTAATCGACTTCTCAGCTGAAGTGACATCAAGCGGCTCTCCTTTGGGCTGCTCTACTTGAACCTTGTGTTGATCCTCTGCTTTGGACTTTTGACCCGTTTTGTGTTTCGCTGTGGCGTCTTCATCCTTGCTGTCAACATGCAGTTTGTCTTGCATCTGATGCATTTGGGCAGGCGTGTCTTCAGGGATTTCACCCTTTTGATTCATTTTAATTAGCTGTTGACTTTCTGTTTCCTCCTCTTTTAGAAAGGACGTGTGTTGTTCAACCTGACCCGGGTTTTGCGTCTCTGTCGCAGGATAAAGATCGACTTGCTTTCTGTGATGTTGATCGAAACTTTCATCACAAATCTGCATTAAACTGTCTTCTTTTGTCTTTTGCTCTTGTCGTCCCCCCTGTTCCTGTTCTCCATGAACCGAGCTCTCCCCCAGCTCTGTTTTCTCTTTACCTCTACCTGACCGGGTCTCTTCTTGTGACGTTTCTGTTAAAACATCGTGTTTTGATTGAAACAAAGCTGGTTTCAGACTGAACTTCTCCATCTCTTGGCTACGTACCTGCCTCCATCTATCCTGTGAGGACACACTTTTGTAAATGTCTTTGTTTTCTCTCATCTGCTCATACCTTTTCACCTTTGAGAGTACTCCTCCCACTGGTTCATTGAAAGCCTGCTCAGAATGAGCTTGGCTTCTTAAATATTCTCTGCTGTGACTGTTTGCAGTGTTTAACCTTGATGCGTCTGTGGCAGAATCAGACTGCTGAAGCTGCTCCGCTGATCCAAGATAATCTCGCTTACGGGGAGTAAACGATGCTACGTTTTCATGAGGATTCTGTCCATTAGCCAGCTGATAGTTAATGCAGTTCTCAGGGATGAAGCCACTAAAGCCAGCATGATGAACCGTCTGACCTTGCGCCTGCACTGTTTGGTAATCGCCAACGTTGTTTTCTGGATTCACTCCTTCAGGTTGGTGTGTTTGAGCTGTGAGTGATAGTCCAGGGTTGTAATGATGGTTCACTGTAGTTCTTTTGGGTTCTTGAATGTCCGCATCTGTAGAAACAGGGATTTGCGTCACAGGCTGAGATGTCTCTTGCACTAAAGGCTGTTTCGGTTTCTCCTGAATCTCCAAACCTTTAAATTTGGCAGGGCTGTAGGTGCTTTTTACTCTCTTCCTGTTATCTTTGAGATTGAAGAGGAGACTCGTAGCTCTAGATTTGTAGCTGGACATCCTGACATCAGGAGTGCCTCCCCTGCTCCCAGCTCGTACAGGAGGATGCTCCACCGGTTGAGGAGAAACGTCATGCTGCTTGAGACATAACGTCTCTTCTTCCCATTGGGCTGCAGGTGTGAGCAGCCTGCTGGTGCTGACTGCATTAGCCTCTAGTGTCACTGCGGTGTTGCCATGGTTGCCCAACCTTTCGTGCCCAGAAAGTCCTCCTTGGTTTGTTTGATTTGTTGTCTTTTCTGTTGTCGTGTTCTGATCAGACATCGTTTTCAGCTTTTGCTGGAGAGCTTTGACGGAGCTGATGGTGTCTCTGACCCGTCGAGACATCTCAGTGGTGGGCGAAGCCGTTGATGGACGTTGGGATGGAAGTTTGTTAGCGCCCAGACTTTGTGTCCACTTCCTGTGAGGATAATGGCCCGCCAGCTCTGACTCGCAGCGTTTCTCCATGGCTGAAGCTTTCTGCAGCACCGTGGACGTTGAAGTGGACCGAGGTGGGGGAGCTGTGAGTCCCAGGTGATTCCTTGAGTCTCTGAGATCCCTATAGGGAGCGTGTGACTGGTTTTCAAGCGAAAGCTCGTTGTACATCGGCGTGTTGTACCATTTTGGAAACTCTGAATGCTGCATGAAGCCAGAGATGTCTCCTTGCTGGAAAGGAAACCTGTTGTGTTCCCTCCATAGCCTGAAGGGACTGAACTCGCTGTGAATGAAGAAGTTGGAGTTGCAGCTGACCTGTGCAGACATGTTGTGTTTCACCTGGGACATTCGAGCCATTCCATGGGGGGGACAGAAACCGGTGTCCTGAGGTGAAAACAGAGTTGCAGAAGGGAAGTGATGACCATCAGAATTGTGCTGGTATGATGTAGAGAGTTCAGAAAGTTCCTTCTGGACGCTCACAAGAGCCGCTCTGTCCCAACCTGTCCCATCACTCCACACCCCTGGATTATTATCTATTCCTTCTTCGTCCCTGCGGCCCTCAGCGTTGAAGGCTCTGACGAGAGAAGAAACTCTGGAGTGGCTTCTGCGCTGCTGTGACCTCAACTCTGTTGCTCCATTGCTAAAGAAAGAAAGCTCCCCCTCCCTCAGAGGGTTTCCCTGCTGACAAGTTTCCACCAAGGAGTGCTGGAATGTGGCAGAAACCATCCCTTGCATCCTCGCGCCATAATCTTGCCACTGTGGATCTCTGTGGATCTCTGCTCCACACATCCCCCCGAGCATCCAGTCCTGTCCATACTGCTGCACCCTGAGGCTGAAATTCTCATGTGCAGCTCTCTTTTGTTCCTCCCAGTCTCTCACCTCCATGTTTCTGTCTTGGTTAAAGGTCAGCTGTCTGTCTCTCTGGATGCTTGGTGAAGACAGACTGAGGTCAGAGTCATTATAAACAGCCTCCTCTCCGATGCAGAGACTTCTGAACGCTCTGTCCGTCAGACTGCTGACCTCGCGGTCGGCCTCATCCAGGAAGGACCCACCGCTGGAGGCGTCGCTGAAGCCCCCGTCGCTGTGCTTTCGGCGTCCACCACTCTTTCTGCTCGAGCGACGCTTCTCAGCCGATGTCATGATGCAGACTCAATAGAAAGAAGCTCTGTCTTCAGTCGTTCAGTCATTCATGTAAATATAGATTTTAAAATTATGCTCTGTGCCTGCTGGTGGAGCTGCAGCTCCTGGAGTTTGGGACCTATGTTTGGAAGTTGCTCCGAAGGCATTGTGGGATTTAATTTCCCCGTGCACAAATACTCCTGGACTTCAAAGCTTTCCTAAAGAAAAACAAAAAAGGGAGAATCAGGCTGGAGCTGATGAAGTTCACAGAAAAAAAAACATCTGGGTTTGCTATTCAAATCATAAGTGTGCTTCGACTTTAATCCAAAAACCAGAATTTATATAAAGCCTTTTCTCACATGATACCATTTCATGTTGTTCTGTTTGATTTATGAGAACCAGAGTTTCCCCTTTTTGCAATAAGCAGCAATGTTCTGTATGTGGCTCTGAGAACAGCTCTGTAAATCCTTTCACTCAGCCACCGTGACCTTCAGGGACGTGCTGTGGGTGAAAGCTGCACTGTTGCTAGGCTCAGGACAGACAGACTCACGTGAGTTATTTTGGGTAATCAGGATGCATCACTGCAACGTTCACTTTGATTTCAGTTTAAAAGTGTAACACGGGTTTTAAGTGACATCGACATTTCAGTCTCCTCCCAATAATGAAAGCAGTTTGTTTTTAACAAAATTAGCCAAACGTCCAGTAAAGTAGTCATCAAACACTGTAAAAACTGGTTTTCAATCAAGTAAAAACTCTTAGTTTTTAAAGCATCAGTGTGTCCCGTCGATAAGGGGCGTCACACACATTTCAGGGTCTTTTACACCATACCGCCGCGACCTGGACGTGACTCCTCAGACTTTGATGGTCCTTCAGGTAATTGGAGAGAAAGCAATGTTGATGCTAGTTTTCATCAGACTGTGCCAAAACGCACAACAGTTCTTACGTGTGAACATTTCAAATGTATTCACATAATTAGCAGCCATTTCACTTTGTATAGAATTCTCTATGTTTTGTTCATTCTTATGTAAATAAATCTATTAATTCATTCAAAATGGTGTATACTGGCTATTTGTTCAATAATGTTATTTAAAATTTTGCCCCATTTCATTGCCGTTTCTGATATTTTAATATTTATAACAATAATAATAATAATGCAGTGAACTTATATAGTGCTTTTTAGGACACTCTTACATTCACACACTGTTAGTGATGGTAAGCTACTTTCAGTGTTGGGAGTAACGCCGTTTAAGTATAACGGCGTTTCTAACGGCGTTCTTTTATAGGTAACGGAATAATCTAATTAATTACTTTTCCCGCCGTTGCAACGCCGTTACCGTTACTGGGGACGGAACGTTGTGCGTTACTATGTGCTTGTCGAACGTTGAGCAGCAGCGTGAGGCTTTCTGACCGCCACACTTCCGCTGCAGCCAGGGAGAGAGAGGTGTCGGTAACGCACTTACAAACACGATGATGACTGGCCGGGTTGGCGGAGACCCTCACGGTCTCAGTCACTGCATTCTGTAGACACAACGGGAATAACTCCGTTTAAAATAACCGCGTTAATAAAAAATATTTCTTTCTGTAACGAGCAAACTAATTAATTTCGTCTTCTTGTATCAAAACGTCGTTCCTGTTACTGATAAGAAAATGCGTGCAGCAGCGAATCTGCGGGTCTGCAGCCGTGCCCTTAGCATGACAGCGGGACATCCCGGAGGTCCGCTCACCTGTTCACCGCGCAGACGTCCTGCAACGATCTTCTGCCTTCCTAGATCATCCAGCTGTAACCTGTTCCTGATCATGTCTTTAGTCCTGCTGTAACACTGATGCATCTGTCTCAGACGGCATGGAGCTCAGGTGTTATTAGAACTACCTGTGTGTGTTTACCACCCAGCTTCAGCTCTTCTGTGGTTGGGTCTGACCCACGTTAGTACATTTAAGTCCTCCATCAGATTTGTGCCTCTTCTAGTGTCATTTTAAAGGATTTTATTTATTTATTTATTTAACCGTTACTAGATTACCAGCAACAGAAAATGCTGCTAAAAACCTAAAAACACACAATTATGTGAAGCTGGAAAAATTAGAATGCTGTGCAAAATTACATTTATTTCTGTAATTTAACTAGACTGAGAGACCATTTAAAGGCTCGGGAACCTTTACAGGTGTTTCTATTTGCAATTTTAGTTTTTAGCTGATTGGGTTTTTGTTAAATATCACACAGTGACCTTTTAATAGTCTAGATTAGTGTAATGCTCCTGTTAGTAGTTCCTCCTGTTAAGTGCTCATTTATTTAAATTATTCAGGTTTATATAAAACATTTGGACATACATTTTATTATGTTCAGTCATTAGTCATTTATATTTTACTATTGTAGTAATTCTTGCATTCTTTAATGAAAAAAGTAACTAAGTAGTTACTTTTGTTGGTAATTAGTTACTTTTATGATCTTGTAACTCAGTTAGTAACTGAGTTACTTTTTTGACAAAGTAATCAGTAACTATAACTAATTACTTTTTTAAAGTAACGTTCCCAACACTGGCTACTTTGTAGCCACAGCCGCCCTGGGGAGGTCTGACCGAGGCAAGGCTGCTATTTGGCGCCGTCGGCCCCTCTGACCACCATAAGACAGGCAAGTTGGATGAAGTGTCTTGCCCAAGGACACAACAGCAGAATACCTCTGGCAGGCGCTGGAGTCAAACCCATGACCCTCCGATCATGGGGCAACCCGCTCCACCACCTGAGCTACTGCTGCGCCAGTTTTGCTTATATTTTATATTTCCTTTGGCAATATAAACGTTTTCTCCAAAGGACTGCAGATGCAAATTTGTCCTGATCAATTAAAATCTTCTGTGTCAACGTGCTAACAAAACTTTTTTGAATGTGGCAACGAAACTTTCGAAGTCATACGTCCAGCCAATCATCATTGGCAGGCGCAGGACCCTGAATCGGCTTGCGTGAAACATGGCGTCTAACATGGCGTCACCCAGACACCTATATATTTACAAAGCCGTCAATATTTTTCAATGACTGGGCATCATTTTATTCGTTTTCAACATTTTGATGAATATTTCCAGGGGTTAAAGGTTCAAACTACACATTGTCACTTTAAACAGTTTGTTCTATTATTGGCCTACCATTAATATCAGCATTACAGTTTTACATTGACACAACTTTTACATGCCATACTTATATGATACATCAAACTCAGCTATGTCTCCTCGCTCTCAAAATGTTAAATATGATGGATCTGAGGTAAAGCTTTTGAACTGATGAAAAAGAAATGAGCCTTATATGGTGACAAATGAGTAAAACAAAAACAAGAATCTCCACCTAAGGCTTACTTCTTTTTCAAAGATCTTTATAAATGTTTTATCACCATAACTGCAATTTATAGAAAAAGACAAAAATGCATTACTAAGTAATTCACACAGTGTAGTGACACTCTTAGGGAGAACACGATTCAGCTGCTGTTCGAGACAAAATAAACACAGCACGTTTCCTTTTTACTTACTTAAATTAGTTGTCATTCTGAACAGAAAATGTTCAAATTTAGGCACAATAGTAAGTTAGTGAGTAAACTTTATTTGTATGGCACCTTTCCCAGGCATGAGCCACAAGGTGCTTGACAACATTTTAAAAGTTTAAACAAAAAAAGAGAAAATAAAAACTGTGAATACAAACAGTGAATAAAACAATTAATAAAAATAAATGAAAACATGTCATAAAAGGCCAACACCACACAGAAAACATAACAACCCTAAAATAACCAGATGAATGCCTGGACAAATAAATGAGTCTTGAATAATAATAGGAAAAATGTGATGTTAGTAACCTAAAATGTTTTAGTTTTTCTTTTCTTTATGAGAGGGGGACACAGCAGATATCGGTATTGGAAATAAAGTATTTATAATATCGGTATATCATTTTTAAAAAAGCCTAAATCGAGCACATGTAGTAAATATTCATACATATGATAATGGTTTTCTGGTTTTGAGCACACAAATTTACTTAATAGCTTTAGGAATTCCAGCCAAGCAGCTTTTATTATCCCACTGGCAGAATTATTTTTACAAAAAAAGATTTATGATCATTTTTAGGAATATTTACATATTTCTAGTGCTGTTATTGTAGAGAATACTTTTTTGCTGGACTAAAAATAAGATCAAATGTCCAAAACAATGACCTGCCTTTAGAACAGGGGTGGGGAACCCTGGTCCATCGAGTGCCACTATCCAACCTGATTTCAATCAGCAGGTGATTAACAGGCTTCTGCAGAGCCTGGTGAGCTGCTGAACAGGTGAATCAACCACTGAATCACAAGTGTTGGAGCAAAGATATGCAGGATACCGGCCCTCGAGGACCAGGGTTCCCCACGCCTGCTTTAGAACACTGACAGTCCACCTCTGTGGCGACTTTAAATCTGCATTCAAAACTCTTTTCCTTGTCGTGGCATTTAACACCTCATGAGGTGTAACTATTAGCTCGATATTTTAGTGAACGATTACATTTTAGACTGTTTTATTTGTTCTTGTCTACTTGTTTTTTGCTTTACATGGTATGAGTGTGGATTGTTTTTTGGAATATTTAGCTCTCTGTTGCTGCCGTGTGGTTTATATGGATGCAAAGCACTTTGGTCCTTTTTCTTGAAGTGCATTATAAATAATGTTGGATTGGATTGTTTTTGCACAAATAAAGTTGAATTATGAATGATAGATAGACGGACGGGCGGGCGGACGGTCAGACATGGTGTTATTTACATAAAATAATTCAGTTTTTTATTTTAATGAGGAAGAAAAACCCTGCATACATTGGTATATCAGAAATTAAGTGTAAGTCTATATCTGCATATCTTATATTGCTAAAAAAGAAACATCGCTGGTTGGACCAGTCAGTAACTGACAACTAATCGTATGATAATCCTTTAGTTTTACTACACGGAGGGCAGGTTAGAGCGGACTAAAATGCCTTTAACGAGAAGAGCTTAAGCTCTAGAGGTAAAACTAGAAAATGAACTGCTGGTGAAGTTCATAAACATTTATTACGCTTCATGTGGCATTTAAAATCTTTATTACCAATTATATTTAATTAGACTGGGTTAAAATGTTTTATTAGAGCAAGGTACATCATACATCACCTCTTTTGTGCTGTTTTTCGAATGAAATGTTTACAGATTTAAAAATACAGTATCTTGCATTAGATCTGTTATAATCCAGCCAGCCTGAGTCATCCTGCTCAGAATGTCACACGGATTGATAATATTCCCTGACTTGGATCTCATTTTATCATGACAGCTACTCACTGCTGACCCTCAACGTCAAATATATAAATGAAAGTTCAAAAGTGTACGGCTGAATCTTCGGGAGACGCCGCAGAAACTCCTTTCAGCTGAAGTTCCTGACATCTTTAGTGGTCGTTTTTTTTTTTTTTTTTTTTTTCAAATGAAGCATTTAGAAAGTCAAACATCTGATATTTCAGTTAGATGTCTTGTTAATAAACATGCACACATCTATTTATGTAATGATAATGTCGTCTCTAACTGACAGGATGATTTCTCCATATTCTTGCATGTGATAGGTTTATTTTTGTCCAGTGACGGGTCTCCGGCTCTAAAACCCGACACCAGAGCGAGTTTGATTTTCATCTCCGGTCTGAGAGCATATTTAACCCTCTCAGGCTCAAAATAAGTTTTGATAAAAGGACCAACAACTAAGTCCTTCAGGGGTATTTCTGAGTAAAACAAAATGCTCATGAAATACGTGTGTGGAGTAACCGGTAGGTGGGTTTATCTGGAACGCCTGCCTCCAGAGGGTTAACATCCACATATCTGTCACTTCTAAATACAGAAACAACCGCATGATTGTAAATCTCATCAAAAAACTCTGATTTTGTTGGAAAACAGGTTTTATTTTATTTATTTGCATTAGGATTTTTCACGGTGCAAAAAAATTAATTTCCATGTGAAAAGCTGCAGTTTTCCCACCTTTTATCATTTCTCTGATCTGCTTTTCACTTGCTTCTTTTAAATACGGACCAAAAAAATTGGACCCTACCTTTTAAGTTCATACTCCATAATTTGGGGCCTGTTCAGAAATCCAGAAAAGGCTCCTTCAGCCCAAAAAAAGGCCTCGCTGGTGCAATTCCAAGCTGTCACCGCACACATCCACCGTCTGGCAGAGCTTTATGCCAACCGTCCAAAGCTAAATCCTCCACATGCTTCACTGTGAGGTCTCTGGGCATCTGACCGGCAGCAGGCAGCAGGGTTCGGGATGGGAGACCAGACAAAAATAGAGGAATCGTCCCAGAGAGAGCGTCCACCATGGGGGGACAGAATGAGGACTTGAGCTAGCACGAGATCCTTTGGTGTCGAGTGTCAGAAGGATGAAACAAACAGCCTCTAAACTATTTATAAATCTGGACTGTTGGCCATTAGCAGTGAGAGCTAACTGGGAGCTAACTATGCAGCGTGATTGGAGGTTTTGTGATTTGACAGAAATTTCAAAGTCAGAGTGATCTGAAGTTGTGCTGGAGTGGGTTCTGATGAGACACACACACACTGGAGTCCAGTCACTGATATCTGGTGTCACATGGAGCATAAACAAGTCACCGCCCACCACCTCACGGGAGACTGAAATGAAGCTTTCTGCCCAGGAGTTTTATTTTTCTCTGAGAATTCTCCTCTGCTTACAAAAATGACCTCTCCATTGATGAGATCTCCCTAACTACAGCCTTGCTCACCCCAGCAGAAAAAGGCCATAAGGCAGTAGAAGGAGAGGAACAGCTCCTCCCCCGTTGACCCGTCCATCCCTCTCCCCTCCTGCAGCCCACAGCTATAATAGGAGATTGCTGCAGCAGATAGTTTCCTGGGATTGTTGGCGGCTGCAGTGCTGCCTTGGTGGGATGATGGACTCACACACATGGGCCTTAATGGAGACACACTCCCTTCACATATGCACACACAACCACACACACACTCACACACAGCTGAGAAAAATAGATGAAAGGCTGAGGTAATCCCTGTTTAAACTAACCTCACTCCCTCTCAACATCACAAGCACACTATTTAAAAACATTAATTTCCTTTTTGTTAATTGTGAAGATCTCAATATTAAATATGCAACTTGCTGTGATTTTGTCTCGTGCTTGGCTTATAAGTGATTAAAAAAAATTTGATTAATGAATAGAAATTTGAAAAAAAAAACGAATTTTAGCTAAAATGTTTAGTATCTCCATCTATGTGAAACATGAAGAAATGTCTTGCTCACCGTGTCCCTCTAGTGGACTAACGTAGAAACTGAATGTTTTGTGTGAGGTGTGGAAGTGGGGTCAGGGTTAGGGTTAGGGTTTTTATCTTGTAAAACTTAAAAAAAATTCTAAACATTTTGACGGAGGAGCATCAGAGGATGTGAGCATTGATCACAGCGGCTGAGGATGCTCCTCTGCGCTGCGTCAGCAAAAGCCCATCTGTGGTTATGTGGCAGACAGCAGACACATTACTTGCTGCATTAAGATCTGCTTTGTTTGTATAATCTCCATTCAGACGTAATCTTAACTGATTCTAATTGATTGTGTTATTGATCACCTCTGAAGCAGGAATCAAAAGCAGAAATGATCGTTTTTCAGGTATTTTATTGGACCGGGCCTGCGTGCACTTTATGTCCAACTCTAAATCCAAGTTATAAAACATTTAAATTAATGTTTTGCATCTAATGCAAAGATTTTCTCAGGCTGCCTGTTTCTGTGTTCCTCTCACTGATGTGTCTGTGCACATGCGGGACACAATTCCCCACATCTTTGCAAGGGGGAAAAAATATTTCATTACTGCAACAAAAGAAGCCCATTAACTGCAACGTAAGAACCGAGTTCAACTACTGTCCCCCGCATTCACCACATCCGTCTGCGTTTCTGGCCGCTCTCCAGCTAATTTGATATAACAATGCTCCACGAAATCGTCTCAGGACTTTTTTTAGGTGACTGGAAATTATCAATGATGCCACATGCACAGCCCAATGTCAACACCATCTTGACTTGCTCATGAAATATTAAAGCGTGAGTGATGGGTGCCATGCAGAACTTAATGATGATCGGAGTCATTATAACTTCAGCATCTTTTGTTTTGGCGAATGATTAAATCCCACTGCTTCTGCGGAGGGACCGAATGTGCTTTATCCACATCTTTTGTGTGAGGTGGCTGGATTTGAGCTGTCCATTCTGCCACATTTTCATGCATGCACGGATATTCTGTGTTACTGAGCTACAAAAAGCATCTTAAATAACTCCAAATATGAAAAGATAAAGATTCTGTGTTTTTTGTTAAATTGAGAGCTAAACTAATTATAAAACGTGATTTTTTTAGAGCGGCGTGGTGCTCCAATAAAATAAAAATCCTGTGAAAATTAAATGAGTCTCCAGGTTTCAATTCATGAAAGCATTGCTTTTATTGGTATAACTGTAAGATATTTACAACATGCACACACAATAACGTCTAAAAAACGAGGATGTCGAGCGCTCTGTGCACAACCTGGCACAACTTCTGACATTATCCGCTTCTCGGTGTCACCAGGGTGTCGCCTCATCAATTATTGAACCAGTACTTCATGGTAATACATAATTTCACATCCATTATTCATGATAATGTGTGTGTAGTTTACTTAATTGTGTTATTGACTATCAAAAGTAATTTCCTGAAAATCCTCAAGGACGCAAATTGAATCAGGCAAAACTACTGGCCCGGCGGTTAAATATTATCAATCCCATCAGCTGATCCAGAGTTATTCCAGGGCAGGGAAATGTTTAGGAATCAGAGAGTCGACGAATACAGGCTACACCCTGTTTGAGAAACCCTGAGGTAACTTGTTTCAATTCAACATTAATAAATAGCTTTTATATCCTGTTTGGAGGGTAATTTAATAAAAACACTCAGTGGCAGGAGGAAAAGAGAGCGTTTCTAAAAGTAAATAAATAATAAGAGTCACGACTGCTCTCCACTCTTGGCTTCAAGAGAAGCTGATAAATAATGTATCAGAGCAGATGGCTGGAGCGAGAGGCAACAGGAGAGAAACATGAGCGACTACATCTTTAATTGTTTTAAAGAACGTGTCACAACAGGACTGGTGTGTTCCCTGTCTGTCTGCTGGCACCGCGGAGGTGCTAACAGACAACCGGAGCTGTCTGGATTGAATGGATTCAGCTCACTCAGAAAAAAAAGTCTTTACGGTGGAAAAGACTGATTAGTGTTAAAGTGCACTTTCACTTCAGAATCAAAAGAATGAGAGGCCATCATCTGAGCACATGTTGCAGAATCTTCAGTCCGACGCCCACGGTCTTCATGCAAAAAGTCAAAGTAGCGGTCCTCTCAGTGAAAACAAGACATTATCGAACGGGCCTTAACCGCGCGGTCCAAGAGCGTCCGAAAGCAGTTCATCTGGGAGCCGAGGCACCAGATTTTCAGAATTTCTCACATTTATAATCTACAATGTTTCAATTTATTTGCATCCAGATGCTGTGATCTTGTGAATTTCTGTCCCAGGATGTTTCTGGAGTTTTGCTTCGTTGCTCGTCTGAGCAGAGTAGATAGGGAATAACAGGCACCGTCACACAGATTATCAGCACGTCCAAGTTTTGTCTGCAGGATCTCACTTTTTCTCCAGCGGCTCCTTGGAGCAGTGAGCGTGTTTGTCGGGACTGCCGCCCAGGATGGGGACTTTTGTGGCTGCGCTGGGACTGGAACTGCTTCGCTCTCTAACGCCGGTGCCAGGCACCTCCATGGCTGTGCCCGCCATGGGCCTCACTACCCCCGCTGCGCTCACGCCGACCCCAGAGAGGACTCCGACACCAGCGCCGTGTCCGGTCACTGCGCCGAGCAGGTTGGCCGACTGCAGCACGGCCTCCGAATGCTCGCGGGCCTTCATGCGCAGGGCAGCCACACTGGCTGTACGGTTTCCCTGGCAACCGTAGGGCGGCAGAAAGGACAAACCCATGGGGTCAGAAACGCAGCAGGAGCACAAACTGTTTCCTGAGATGGAATAAAAAGTTGGATTTCAGGAGAGAGCAGCTAAAAGGTGGATCTTAATCCTGATGAAGGAGAATCAGATTTACCTTTTAGTGTGGCGACTTGTGAGAGGGCCTGGGCGTAGGTAGCGGAGTTGAGGAGTGTGCCCGGAATACAGGATGGGAAGAACGGACCACCTGGACCCACTGTCCTGCTGATACTGAATGTTTGGGTAATACAGGATTTTCTTTATTCTGATAGATTTCCATCACCCAGATCGAGTAGTTACATCACCTATCTGCTTTCCCTCACCTTTGTTGTATCTCCAGCGGTTCTTTCTGTTTTCTGTTATGGTCCACCGGGGACTGAGAGTTGATGCTGCGAGACGGAGGAGAGCCGTCGCTCATCTGCTCCTTCCCTCCTTCCGGATCTGAGCTCCCTCGCTCCGTCTTCCTCCACTTTGCTCTACGGTTCTGAAACCAAACCTACAAAAACAGAGCAGTAACATCACTAACATGCACAACACCCAGATGGATCCAGCTTCATGGGTCACACGTGTGCATCACTATCATCACTGGATCTCTAATCTCCCATCATCCCTCACTTATCCCACCCAAAAAACTTCACGCTCCACTCTGCAAAGAACATATAAGTCAAGTTCTTGTCTTAATCGAATGAAGGTCACTGCTTATAACAACATTTAATTGAGCAATTTTTCATTATCATATTTTAATGACTTCCCACTGACAGTTGTGCTGCCCGTGAGAGAGGCAGCCATGATGAAGTCGTTTATTTCCCTATTTAGTGATTGTTTGACAACATCAGATTCGATTAGGACTTGGTTCTAGCAGGCATTAATCATGATGTGTGAATGGAGGTTAGAGCCTGTGCGCATGCGCTGCGCGTTCTGCCCATTGTGGTAGAAATGATGTCAACAGCCAAACAAAAACGCACGCATTCATTCGGCATAAAGAAAGGACATTTCCATGGCAGGACAACAATACAGCCAATGGACTTATCTCACCCCTGCACCTTCCAACTAGAAGTCTCGCCCCCCCCATGCGCACGCACACACACACACACACACACACACACACACACACACACACACACACACACACACACACACACACACGCACACCTCTGAATGGGCTATAATTGCTCCATTAATCTCAATTTGCCTCGTGCTCTTAATGCGGGGGAGGCCCCATTGACACTTTACAAAGGGGGGCTGGGGGGTGCAGCAACAACACTACAAGAGAAAGGAAATTTATTTTCTAATAATAATGTAAGTTTAATATCCCTGCATAGTGCGGTGGACTCATGTTCAGATTTAATAATAGGAATGTGGTAATCGGATTAGGAGAGGAATAATTTGTTTACAATCCCTAATTTACAGCGCTGGATTCCATTATCAACCCCGCCATTGGGTTTAAGCGATAGTAAGATGACCCTGGGGAACAAAAGGCAAACTATTATATTTCCTACAATTAGATCTGTGCGCACAACAAAACCCAAAAGCAAATCTGGAATGCAGGAAATCACATCCAGGACACGTAACTTAATTACATCCGGCCAAGTTTATAACCGCGCATATGTGCGGGGCAGGAGGGAAATGGCAACATTTTGGAAACGCGTTTATGTTTTGTGAGCATGAGACCGAACCAGAGAGTCAGAAAGAGTTTTTATTTTCTCTTCACTCTTGTTTTTATTTTGAAACTCCTTGTTTTATTTGCACGGATGACGTGTTCTCGCTTCTGTGCGCGCGGACATGATCGCTGGTTAATTATGAATGACCGATTAATCAAGCTAATCTAATATTCACCATTACGTTGATGTTATTAAAGTGCACCGTTGGAATGACAGAGTGGCTTAATTTACCCTCTCCTCTCGCGCGCGGTCAGACGCGCTCAAGACACCGCGCTGACGCACGGCGCTTACCTGCACTCTGGCCTCGGTCAGGTTGATTTTCATGGCCAGCTCCTCCCGCGTGAACACGTCCGGGTAGTGAGTCTGAGCAAAGACAGCCTCCAACGCCTCCAACTTGCAGGGGACACAGAACAAACTCAGAAATGATTCAATGTCTGATTAATTCTAATTCTAACTTAAAAATATTCAAGTTGCTGGTTGAAGAAAGTCTGGCCTAATTTAGCATTATTTTAAACATTTGCTGGACGTTTTTTTCTATGTAATAAAGTTTGATGTCAGACATAAACTATATTTATTTCTAGTCTGACTCTTCTGAAATCACAGGTTCTAAAATACTTTACAGCTTTTGTATTGATTTTGTTTCCCATTTCTTTAATGCATTACTTTCCTGATGCTTCATTTTCATAATGTACTTTTCAATATTTATGCTCTGAAACATAATTACCTGTTGTAAAGTAAACGTTGTTCTGTTTCTGCGCTGCTTCCTCCGCAGAAATCCATCGTCAAAATCAGCTGGGGCGTGGTTTCCAACCCGCCTGAATTTACTGAAATAAAAAATAAAAAACTGTTTTGAACTATTCGTTTTAAATTCAAGTTTAAAACACGTTAGAAATTTGAAACTGAATATTAATGAATAAAAAAAATCCTAAACGTGACAAATTAAACTTGATCCTTAAAAATATATTAATAATATTAATAAATGTGAAAGGGAGACTATTAAGGACTGGCCAAATGGAGATATTTTTGTGTTCCCATTAGTTGCATGAAACATTGATGTTGAGAGTCTAAAGGGAACCATGACGGACTAAGAGCCATGACACCCAACATCTGTGCCCGGGACAAAACTCCCCCTCTGCCCCGGGGCCAAACCACCAGCGCCTCTGAAACGCAGCCAACAGACACAGCAGAGGGGGAATCACACTTTAACCCTTTACAAACACGCTGGATTGTCTTAGAAACTTTTAATAAAATGCTATTTTAAAATAAAAAATCGAATAAGCTTTTGCCAGTCCGTTTAAGATTATCTGTGTCTGAAAATAAACTTTATTATATAAATTAAAGCATAATAATGAATCAAGTGAGCAATATAAAAGTTAGACTATTTGATCAAAAGAAGCTTGAAAAAAGAGAACAGACTCTCAGGCCTTATCTCTAGACGCACTTCGTGCGTAAATGCGCGCTTTCTAAACTTCATCCAACTCACTTTCCATACAGAACAAATCATTTATGCCTGCTTAAATGAAATAAAAATTATGATGAGAAACAAATCCAGAAAGACGACTCACGTGTGTTGGAGCGACAGCACTCTCCTTCAAGTTGGGGCGGACAGTGGAAGTAGAACATCCTGGTGCGTCTCGGAGCTGCGAAGCCGAATCTGGAACACAGACAAAAAGTTTCAGCCCAAAGCTTCTGGTCGGCGGCAGCGTCTGCAGCATCCAACTGATCTCCGGAGCAGAAGCGAACATGTTCTGATTGGAGGCGGGGGGGGGGGGGGGGGGGGGGGGGTGGCATCCTACCTGCAGCGAGGATGCTGATGAGAGTGAGTTTGCGCTCTGGAGAGAAGCAGCGGATGCGTTTCCACTTACTCTCTGTTTGGGAGTGTCCAGACCTCCCCGGCTCTCGTTTTCTCTTTCTTGATTCTCTCTCTCTCTCTCTCTCTCTCTCTCTCTCTCTCTCTCTCTCTCATCTCTCTCTCTCTCTCTCTCTCTCTCTCTCTCTCTCTCTCTCTCTCTCTCTCTCTCTCTCTCTCTCTCTCTCTCTCTCTCTCTCTCTCTCTCTCTCTCTCTCTCTAACTTTGGGTGTGTGCGTGTTTCTCTCTGGGAGTGTCCAGATGTCTCTATGACTGTATAACTGTCTACAGAGTGCTAAGGCTTTCAGTAAGTGTCGCAGAATCTCACGCCTAATTGGTCCTAATCGGATTATCACGGCTTTGTCTCTCTCACCCTCAACCCCTGGTGTTTCCGTATGTGTGTGTGTGTGTGTGCGCGCGCGCGCGTGTGTAGAGGGAAAGAGAGATTGAGATAAGAGGAGGAAGAGGGGGGACATGCCCAGGGTGGCAAACGGCAGCTCTGCTCAGGTGCCAAAGTATTCATCACAGGTGATTGTTATTCCAGAGTTAAGCATATTCCCTAACCATAAACATGCACACGTACTCGCTGCACTTTTTATTTGGTTCTTTCATATATTAAAAAAAGGAGGATGACTGCTTTTGGGTTTTAGATTGACTGTCGGGCGGGTTAATTGCTCGTCAGGGTGTGTTAGGGGGTCCACTTTACAAGGGGCTGCGCGTGTAGAGCACTCACAAGGCCAAATTTTTGATTTTGTTCACAGCAAGGGGTCCCCGCGATTTATTTCGCTTCCTCAGATAAATGATCTGCTGCGGGACCCTTTCAATTAGTTTTAAAGCGCATCTGGGACGACAGAGCGCAGACGCCACGCGTCTCTGAGGTGGAGGCAAAATGAGGCTTCGAGAAGCAGCTGAAATTTAGAAGAGGAGTGCGGGATTGGACTAAACCACATAAAGTGCAGAAAATCCCTTCTAATGGCGCGTAATTGGTTCTGTAATATCATTACAGGCGGATAATGGCCAGTTACAGGGCCCCGCGCTATTAAGGGTTTCCCTGGCGTGCAGCGTTTATGTTATTAAAGGGGGAATATAATGATATTTTAGTTATTAAATGCGCGTAATTAATTTATGCACCACTGAAAATAAAGTTATTATGACCTCGGTGAAGTGCGTGGAGAAAATTGAAATCAAATAAGGTTTGATAACTTTATTCTAATATTTGGTCTAGACTCTGGTGCAGGCCTGGAAGGGAGCTTCCTGTCAGCGCGTTTCCTCTCCATCCTTTCATGACTGCTTAGATGACTAAATGACATTATGTTCCAGTCTCAGCCAGCAGAGACAACTAAACACTCTACTGCAGATTTTATGACCCATATTTGGGCCTTTCTGTAGTTTCACTGGCTTTACAAGGTTTCAGGACCTTGGTCAGCTCCATAAATACCAAAACTCTTGTTCCTTGAACGAATACACTTAAAGCTTATGAGCAATAAATATTATTAAAATGTGTTTATTTTACAAGGCTTTAATCACCTGTTTAAGTCCAGGCTAAACATAAAATATATACCGGTATATAATTTTTTATACAATAAATTAATCAACCACAACAGTTACTTGACATTTATTGCACAAAACGCATTCCCCTTTTTGAAATTAAACCCTCGTCAATATTTTAAAAACATTTTCTGTAAAAACAGAAAACTGTGTCAGAAAAATTCACAAAATCAGCAATGGAGTGAATTCATGTTTACAAAATGGAACTTTACAAACTTTATACAGAAAAATATTATAACTCTGACAAACAGTGAGGTCATTAAAGTACAGTCTGAATAAGTAAGAGCGTATGGCTCTTGTCTGAGGTAACAGAGTTCAACTGCATGGCACCAAAACAACAATTCAAGGATATTCAGGTAAAACAAAGAGACACTGAGGTTTTTCTGATGCCTTAAAATTACAATTATTACGTCAACTCTGCAGCTGAAACAATGAAACATTCGAAAAGAAATTATTTCCTTCAAGTTTTGGTAAATGGAATAAATCCTGTTTTATTAGAATCCAGCTAAAACGGCAAAGTTCAATTTATTCACCTTAGTTGTGTGTGTGTGTGTGTGTGTGTGTGTGTGTGTGTGTGTGTGTGTGTGTGTGTGTGTGTGTGTGTGTGTGTGTGAGATATCAGGAAGCATTTGGAATTACTTTGACTGCAGAGACCAAACTCCTAACCAATAATCTTCCATCACTCATTGTTTCAGCGGAAGTTCTCCTTAAGTTTCCACATGCCCTCCTGGCCCAAGGTCCTGTGGAAGTCACAGATGCTCCTCAGGAGCTCTCTGAAGACGGGCGCCTGTTCCTCGGTCAGTCTGGGTTTGAAATACTCGAGTACTTCCTGTGTGGTGGCCTGTCCGTCTACACTGGCCTGGAAAGCTACGAAGTTCCTCAGATCTACAAGCAGCTCATCATGCTCAGTAGACGGGACAGGAGGTAAACTTCTCTCTGGATCTCCAGAGCCATCCTCTTCCTCCTCTTCCTCTGCAGCCCTCTGGCTGGAGGGCTTATAGACGTGATTACGAGCTCTCATCTTAGCCAGAAGATCAGAGGACGACAGCGGGGTGGAGTTTGACTCCCTGTCTGGCCCTTCCCCACTGAAATGAGCCCCTGCACCTGGTTTCTTTGAAACAGATTTCTTTACAATAGCAGCGTCCTAAACAGAAAAAGAAGCACTGAACATATGAAACATCATAAAGGACAGAGTAAAATCACGAGTGCGCTGATGTTACCTTGCATTTGGTTGGAGTGGAGGCGGACGGAACTGGAGATGAAACTAAAAGAGAATTCTTATTTAGTCCAAAACGTTTCCTGAGAGAAAACAAAAACAAGAAATGAGATTTCTGAGACGAGAGCTGTGAAGCTTCCCTTAAACGCAGCCAGCAGGAGAACACTTGCTTTGCAGGAGGAGGAGGTCTGTTATAAGGAAGTCTGCACTGTTGTCGAGAACTCTTTAGAGCTTTCAGGGCGTCTTTAGCCACTCGGTTGGCTTCGGCTTCCACTAGAACGTAGTCGGGGTTGGAGGACTCCATGATGGTGTCGTGTTGCATCACACTGTGGATACCTGAAGATGACCACTAAAGGTGAGTAACACACCTAAAAATCATCAAAACATTTACCGTTGTGTGATGAAAATTGAGATGAATGAAGTCAGCCCACCAGACTTCTTGAAGAGTTTCGCTAAGACGTAATCATCCGATTCTTTCCGACACCCCGCTGAATTCTCCTCACTCTCTGATTTCCTAAACGTCCTTTTCTTGACTAAATGAGAGATGCGCTGGCCTTCAAATCGAGCCCCGCGGGAGTGTTTGTGTTTTTTATGCTTGTGTTTGTCTACGTTAGAGTCACAGTGCTTCCTCTTTTCCTTGTGTTTGTGCGAGTCTTTGTGTTGAGAGCGGTTTGCTGCTTTGGCTGCCGCTGACTCCTTGTTATTTAGTCTTGTAAGCAGCAGATCGACAGAGACACCCGCCTCATTTTGGCTCTGACTGTCCGCTGGTGCGTTTGATCTGTTCAGACTGTTTTCACTTTTTAATGGAGGGATGTCTCTCGAGTTTCTTCTGTCTGCACCGGCTTCTCTCTGGACTGCTGGGGTTTGTTTATATTCACAGCTGACGTGGTTCACAGAGTGTGATCGTTTGGGCCTCTCGTGTTTCCTGGGTACTTTCACATCAGAGCCAGTGCCTGCGTAAATATAAAAAAAATCAGTCTGTATTCTGGATTGAAAGAAGTTTAAATATTTGAATGAAAGAAAAAAAAGCAACTAAATGGACCAACACACCTGCAAAGATGGCGCTGGTCTCCGTTCCCTGAGTTCCATCGGGGTCGGCTAGGGTGAAGAGCTCATAGATGTCGTTGGACTTAAAGAACCGTCTTTGTTTGGGATCCTTCAGAACCCGATTGGTGAGAAACTGTTTGAAGATTTGCCTGGATTTCAAACAGAAATGATCCATTTTTACTATCTAATTAGTTTTTCTTTTCTTTTTAATAAACTCAACAGGCAATCTTTGATCTGTCACTGCAGAGCACTTCAGCTGATGGATGAGAAAATTAAATAACTTCTCCGCTGCAAGTATAAAAACAGAATCTGGGCAATTCTTCCATCTGGAGTTTTCCAAATCACTTTGCAGACACAAACCAAACAGAGCAACAGTTTGGGAGTCCTCATTTGGCCGTTTAACAATACAGGAAAGCATTTTGATTACTGAGGAGTGGGATAGAGCAAGAAGTAATAGAACAATGATGCAAAAAATACCAATATTTATGAATGTGTAAAGGCAGAGGAAGTATGACTGATGGATGAGAAAACACAAATGAGTCACTTTTAAAAACCTGTGTCCAAACAGGTGACCGTAAGTTATTGAGTAGACGATGTAAATAAAAACACGCTGCCGTATTACCTGTGGTAGATCTTCTCTTCAATGGTCCCTGCAGTCAGCAGCCTATAAATAGTTACCTGCTGCTTTTGACCTATCCTCCACGCTCGCTCGCGGGCCTTTGAAAACACAACACGTTTAAACAAATGATTAAAGTGTGAAAAAAAGGGGAAAAACTCAGGAGAAGCAGACATTTTATTAACTCTCATTAACTTGTTTTATCTTTCAATAAATCTGCAGTGGCCTCAAGTATAAATGAATGCCTTGTGAGTCAATCTTTGTGGAAAAAAAGCTCTTGCTCTCCTGTTTCGGGAAGTAGACGTTAGTTGGAGAGGGGAGCAGAAAATGGCAGGATTTGGAGTTTTTTTCATTACTATTCACGATATTCAGACATCTTGCCTCTGACTGGCTAATAGCAATGCAACTCTTCCACTGCCTCTGTTCACTCTGCAACGTTAATGTTTTATTTCCACAAATAACAAAAGCCTGAAGGAGTTCTACCGTTCTGTGGCGTTGCTAATGCTAACGGTTAGCTTCTGCTAGCTGAGACCTGCTCTGTTCTCTCCTGCAGCTAAATCAACAACAGCCTTTCCCGTTACGAGTCAAGATGGGTGAGCCCATGAGCGTTAATTCACAGTGTGACATAGATCTGTGAGGCTTTTTTGGACCCGAGCGTTTCCCGGTCTGTTTTCCCTCAGTGCCCAATGAAGGAAATATGGGTACATTTTCACATGTAGCCAGCACCTGAAACTGAGAGTGACTAATCATATCTTGAATAGGGATGCTCCGATTCGATCACATGATCAGAAATCGGGCCGGATCGTGTGATTTTAAAAAAGACCGGATTAAACTTTTTAAAACAACAAACAAGACTTTTTAAATTAATCCTGAGATAGAGACTTTCAAAAGGAATAACAATGGCTTACTTTTAATTTCAACAAGTTCCTCTACATCAAATGATATTTGTTTCTTGTACGTAAAACAACAAAGTAACGTCACACAATTTATGGCAGTCTGGAATTCAGACACCAAGGTGCGACTCTTAGCTAGCAGGCTACCGCAACGTGTCTCCTCAGGAGAGCTAAAATGTCTGCAGCTTGGTGGTGCTTTAAAACGGAAGCGCTGGGAGAGCAACAGACACTTGTAACGTGTGCACACTAGGAATTCAACATGCTGGACAGGACAGCTGCATGATTTGCCGCCTTCCAAACAGACTACTTTCACATTTGGCTTTTCTCTTCGGGTGTCAACAAAGCAAATCGCCGGTTTCCCAGCTTGCCACTAACAGTCCCAGTTCACGGTGAACTCAGACAAAAGCACAGAGCCAGCTGACAGAGAAAGATACACTAATAAACAAAGAGAAACTGCCAACAAACTGCAAAAGCGAGTGTGTGTCTTAAGTCTGCTGCATCACCTGAGCTGCTCCAGTAGCTACAGGTGTTATGCAGGGAAACGTTACCCTGTCTGCCGAGGCTCCACATGCCTGCCCCGTCACGGGAACATGCGCCGCTCAACAACTTGAAATATGAGCAACGCTGACACTTTTAAACATGCCCATAATATTAACAGGTTGTTTTAATCAATGCACTTCCTAAACAAGTGAAAGTGAAACCTAAAACATAAACAGCTGACCAACTTTTGATTCAGACAAATGTTTCTTAGTAAAATCTGAACTAGGCTATGTGAGCGTCTCACCTGCGTGTCCGTACTCGGGTTCCAGTCCGGGTCATAAATGATGACTCTGTTGGCTCCGGTCAGATTGACTCCCAAACCTCCGACTTTAGTGGTCAGCAAGAAGATAAAAATAGATTTGTCCTGTAATAAAAACAGACCAGAGGTGATTAAATCAAACTAATTCAATAGTTTTTACTTTGATAACAACTTTGTACTTCAATCTTCGTAATAAAACCTAAAAAATATACCAAATATAGTAAGTGTTGGATTTCTCACTATACTCGACTCTTTCAAAAACGCTGAAGATCAGAAAAAAAACGAATGATATTAAAGACATAAACTTGCTGCCCTGACGCCTGGTGATGCTTCAACACATCACAAACCAAAGAGAACTTCCACTTTGAACAACAGATTGTCATCAATTAGTGTTTCCACCTCAGGCTGAGCAACGTTCCACTGAAGCTTTGAGTCCCTGAGGGCAGGATTTTCATGGGAAACACTCAGAGCCATTAGGGAAGGCTAATCCTTACTTCGTTGTAGCGAGTGATGAGCGGCTGTCGGGAAGCTATTGTGGTCGTCCCGTCCATTTTCAGGTAGGAGTAGTTCTTCTCCAAAACAAACACCTCCAAGATGTCCAACATCTGGAAATGAAGGAGAAGGTGTGAGGAAAAAGAAGAGGTGAGGTGGGCGGGGATGGAGAATGAGGGATTGAGGTTTGGATTAGCTCTAAAAGGATTAAAGCAGATTAATATTACATGGACAGAGATGCCGACAGGGAGGGTCTCAGGTTCCCTCTGAGGCATAATCTCATTGGTATTGACTGCAACAGCTGGGGCCTCTGTCACACACACACACACACACACACACACACACACACACACACACACACACACACACACACACACACACACACACACACACACACACACACACACACACACACACACCCCCTTCCTCTGTTGCACATATTCAAAACGCTGGAAGTATCCAGCTGAAGATACAAACACGCGACATCACAATCTGACACGCGTAATTCAATCTACTTGTGTGAAAATATAAAGCTGTGATTGGTCATCTCCATCAGGGTGCAGAGTTCCTCACCTGTCTAGACTGAGTGAAGAGCAGGACCCTGTGTCCCTGTTTGAACCAGAGACGCAGCAGCGACTCGACCACCATCAGCTTGCCCGAGCGCTTCCAAAAGCCAAAGTGTTCCTCTTCGGTTAGCTGGTCCTCTGGGATCCCCCTCAGCATCCGGGGCCCGCCTGAGAAAAGGTCCGGGTGGTTACATATCTTACGCAGTGCGATCAGGCCTGAAAATACCTAAAGAGATGAAAAGAAACATATTAATTTTAACGATGAACAGCATCCAACTGTTAATTTGTTGTTTTTTTCTAATGTTGCACCTTTAAACAGATCCACACATTTACTTTAGTCTACAGGAATGAATTACATCATTTATTTACGGACAATAAAGGTTTTGTTTCTTGATGAGAGCCCAGTGGTCACTGCATTAGTAATGGTGGTTAATGGACTGAGAGTGACCACTGAATACATCTGTGCACAAGCTGGTCACCCGTGGCTCTTCAACCACGTCTATTGGTCAGTGGTGATAAATGGTAGTCTCTCTCTTTCGCTCTCTCGTGGGTCTGTGGCTAATGCAAGAACTGCACAACCTTTGAAGAGTGGGTTCAAAAACTAAACTCAAGTTAAGCTTTAATGGGTCTAAAACTTGCATATGGTAAAACTGCTTAGAAATCTGGAGCAAGCTTGAAAATAGAAATCTGTTTGGAAATAAATAAGAGTTTGAATTCATTAGATGAAAGACGCACTAATAAATAAGTATCGTTACTGGAAGTCTGCTAGATCAGGAAATGTGACCTGTTTGCTTTCGTAGTGTCTAACAACAAAAGAAAAAGAAAAAATTAAAATACTTTCTCCTGATAAATCTAAACCACCTACTAAAGTTGATATTTTCAAACTTAAAGGGGACATAATAGGGCTGGGCAATAAATCGAAAATGTATCATTATCGAAATGTCTGACTCATCGAGATAAATTTTCCCATGTCAATAAATATGATAATAAAAAATGCGTGTAGGTTGGCAAAGTTCAAGTCCCTTTAAAGAGACAATGTGTAGTTTTTCCCATAAATTTCTAGAAATATCATCAAAACATTGTTGTAAATGAATGAAATGATGCCCAGTTGTTGAAAAATATTGACGGCTTTGTAACATATAACCATTAAAGTCAGGTCTAAAATACATGGGAGCGGGTCTAAATATATCCCAATATCTCTATGAATGGGGAGGGTAGCATAGAACCACTTTTCACCTCTCCAGGCTGGAGGAGCAGCTCTACTTCTAGTCCCTGTCAGGTACCGGAGCTTCTCAGCTTATAGTAGCCTGAGCGGGGAAGGGGTGTGCGTGGCCAGCTCCAGCTTGTTTTTAAAGCCCTGCAACGACTCATTCTGGAAGGTATTGAAATTGCCAATAATAAAAGTGCAGAAATCCCTTTATTTGAGAGGCATTTAATGCAAATAACTTGATAAAACCACATGTTTTTGACTTGGCAGTGACTTCAGATATCCCAGATAATGCCATCAACAACAGAAAAATAAAGTCTTAATAAATACTATGTAACGTCCAAAAGGGTAAATTTTTCACCATCTACATTGACCAACATAGTGACCTTTCATCTACAGCATAAATCCACTTTCTATTAGGCCTTCTAAATCCAGAAGGTTCTGCTCAGCTCGTGTTGACATTTCATGAAGACAAAACATTCAAATAGACACTCTGTCCCAAGGTCCTACACTCTCTGCTTATAAGCCAGACAACATTCTTCACTCTGAAAAAGTGAAGACTCCATGATTTTATAGTTATAAGTGAAATAATCACATGTGATTAATGAATGTGTTTAAATCAAATGTTTGAATAATCTGTGCTTAAATCAATGAATTTGAAATGAATATTGTTCTTACAATGATCCATTTAAATCACAAATTAGTATGTGTTTGATTTAACAAGTTAATCTTTGTTTACGCTCACACATATTACAATAGGAGTGTTAAGACATTCTCATTCACAGTGTTAAAAACATCTTTGTATCTGCAAGAAGGCGTGGCTTTCTGAGGAATGTACGGGTAAAGCCTTCCAGACACGGCGCATTCTGATTTGCCAGAAATGATAAATAATGACTTTATTAAAACAGGATTTACTTCCCGATTAATTCAGTTTCCAGCTGAGCCCCGATTCGGCCACATGGGGAAAGAAGCATCTCTTTTAAAACCATCTCCTTTGGCCTTAAGTCAAAACCTTTCTGCGACGCTGCAAGTGATTACAGACACGACAGCTCTTTTCAGAGCTCCTTCAACTCTCAGACATCCACCTTGGACACCTAACCTGCAGACCCCGGGTTGCATCTTATGGCCGGGGACGCTGAACTCAGAGGAAGCTACTAATCTGAGTATCGTAGCTTCGGCGTCCGGTGACCTCACCACTCTGATTTGAGCAACTCATACCAGGGCATCGTAAGCCTGCATACTGGTGTCTGATGAGATTTTTTTTATTATCAATAACTAACTCTCTAGTTTATAACACACAACAAATTCTTTTACAACCAGATTTCACAATTTCTCTCAGATACAAAGAACGGTTGCTACAACATCTAGCTTCCATTACATCACCTCACATCCACTGCATCACATCTCATTATTCCTATATTGTCATGTATCGTTAGTTTAGGAAAAGCAATTAAATTCATTTTATAAGCTATATACTGACTCTGTCTGAATTAATACAAAGTGTGTTGATGGTCCCTGAATAAGCAACGAACCCAAGAATCTTCCGATTAAACATTCAAAGATCAATCTGATTGACATTTCATATTTGTATGGAATATCACATCTTATTGGTCATAATAAAAATGTATTCCACTACAACTGTGTCCAGTCTAAAAATAACCTACCTGCATGTCACCATTTAATATTTGGTAGACCTCTTTGGAATCTAAGAAGCTTTGATAAACCTGCCGCTGGTCCTGTGTTAATCTGCAAAACAGCACCTACACACACACACACACACACACACACACACACACACACACACACACACACACACACACACACACACACACACACACACACACACACACACACACAGGAGAGGGTACAAGTTTAAAAAAAGACAGTGAACATCTGCTTTAAAGCCCCTGGATGATGTGAAGTGAGTGAGAAGAGACATTAGAGGGAGACGAGGTGTTTTTGGAAGCAAACGTCATCCTCAGGGACCGATTTAACGAACCGAAGTGGACAAAGCAGTCAACCAGCGTCAGCCACGAGGACAGACCAGAGACCAGCCACTTTAATGAATACCAACTCCTTTTACTTTACTAGGACTTTATTATCTAGCTTCACCTGACAAGAGCCATACACATTCATCAAACTCTCTGTAGATGAGGCACAAAGAGTCACATCATCCAATCAGATAAACTCCGGCACAGCTGAGAGGAGGGAGGCATTAGAGGCTGTTCGATAGTTTAGAAAAAGGGTCAAGCAGCTCACGACGACGAGGAATACCTGTTCGTTTTTGTCAGGTAGGGAGAGGTTGGCCTTGACGTCTGCCTTCATCCTTCGGAGCAGGTAAGGATTTATTGTGTCCCTCAGCACACACGCACACTTGAACGCCGTCTGGACCTACAAAATGACAACAGTTAGACCCCAGAGGATATACAAACACATCAGCACACGCATCCGTCTCCTCCTCAGCACTACGAACCATTAAACATTGATCAGCGCACTTTTGGTCTCAAGGGGCAGAGCCTTCTTCCTTTATCGGTACCACTGATCAAAAACACACTCGGTCCCACCCCCATGAAGCCCCACTGCTGCTCTTTATCCAGAGCTGGTGCTAAAAGCCAGTTAGCTCTTTAAACATTAACCCACTAGGGGTTCACATGGATCAAAGACACCGTTGGCAGTGCTGGAGGGGACAATAAAGAGGAAAAATCTAGAGATAAATGGAGGAAAAAGTGGAGAAAAAAAATGGATGGGCAGCAGAGGATTCAGCGATCTCAGCACAAGCTGCTGAGTGGATTCACATGGGGGGTGCAAGAGCACGTTTCAGTAATGGTTTCAATATGCACACGCTCATCAAGCCCCTCCCCAAACACATGCATCTTCACATATATCTGTTTGTACACTCGTGCCTTTTATGCATCATCCGAGGGCTTTCTCTGCTGCTCTGAGAGTTTCACCATCTGGATAAAGCAGCAAAGCTCTGGCCTCTCTGACCATTTAATAACATTAATAATTAGTAAAGGTTTTTATTATTGACAGCGGAAGAAGCATCAATAGGCAGCTTAAATAATTAAATCTATACAGTCAGTGGGTTATTAACGATTGGACGCTAATGACAAAGGGCTACGGTTTAGCTCACCGTCTCTTTACTTTATCCTCTTCCACTCTCACACATTAGGGATAAACTCAAGTTCCTTTGCATAGATGCACATTATCCAGAACCACACTTAATGGCTCTGCTGCACATTCCTCCTCTAACTCTAAAAACGATGCTAAAGCACATTTGTGTGAATTTGGTTCTGCTGTTCTAACCTTCTAATCAAGACTGATCCTAGGAATCTTCTAACTCAATTTTTTTTTTTTACTTAATCATGTACCTGTACAGGTGAGGCATTGCTGTATCCTCCCATGGTAATTGGCACCGAAAATTGCTCCATGAAGACAGGTAATGTCCCCAATTTTCCAGGGAAGACAAAGTCGAAGAGAGACCAGAGTTCCTTCAAGTTGTTCTGCATCGGTGAGCCTGACAGGATGAACCTGTGAGGAGTCCGAAACTACAGAGAAAGCAGCAATAGGACCAGAATTTGGTCAAAACAGGCTTAAATATGAAGAAAATAAAGGTTTTTAATGGCCACAGAATGAGAGGAGTGTTTCTGTGTGTGAACAGAACCTGTTTGCATGCAGTGGTGACTCCAGCGTTTGGATTTCTGATCTTGTGGCCCTCATCCAGGATGATGTAGTGCCAGTCATAACGCAGTAAGGCGTCTTGCAGATTCCTCACGGCTGAATATGAGGTGATCAAGATGCCATGGCACGATGTGATTTCTGGAATCAGCTTTTCCTGAAATATAAACAAATAAAATTCTAAATCTTCTAAGCATCAATCATCCAAGCAGAGGAACTCTTTCAAAGCTGGAAAATTACAGGTAAGAAATTAAACTGTAAAAAAATGAAGACCTCTAGTGCCCCCCAGAGGAAATAAAGCCTTTCTAGTTACATGATGAATTATAAAGCGTTACCTTATTACTGGTAAAGGAGCCGGTCTCATGCAGAACTGCCACCCTGAAAGGAGGCCACCAGGTGTGAAACTCCTTTACCCACTGATGCATGACCGTAGCCGGGCACACGATGATGGTTGGACCCAAGCCAACGTACCTACACACAGCAGGCACATGAAGTATGAAGGTAAATAAACGGATTATTCTCAAGATATTCATTTGTGAATAACAAAATGATGAAGCCTCAAGGAAACCACAGAAGTTCAGTGGTACAGAACTCAAAAGCCTCCACCTCTGTTCGTCCACTCCACCTGTGAGTTTTACGCAGAAATGAAAGAAAGCAGGAGGACATACCTTCAACTCCTCTGAAGATTTACAAGAAGTTTGTCAAACGCATTGAGACACACAGAGATGAACTAATGGGCTGATATGAATCCCTGCCTGGTGGAAGCTATTGATACTCGGCCATAATTGAGTTTGCAAGCAATCAATTTGTGGGCTTCTCTAGCAGACAGAGTATTGACCATCAGGGAAGCTCCGCCCACAGAACGCGCAAGTGTTGTCGGTGCAGTAAAAGCAGATTATCACCGCCACTCCCTCTTGTTCTGTGTGGTTGGTTTGTTGTCCCCCTACACACACACACGCACGCACACACGCACGCACACATGCACGCACGCACACACACACACGCACACACTTCCATCCCCACTTCATGAGTCTAACACTCATTTTAGGCGCTCATGAAGACACCGACACCATCTTTCTCACATCCACGCTCAGGAGTGTCAGTGTTTTCTCTGATGTCTGCAGTAAGAAAGTGAAGAGTCTGATAATTGAAACATGTTTAATAATTCAGACGAACACTCTCAAGCAGAAATCCTTCTAATCAAATATTCATACCATACAGACACACAGTCTCTGGACACGGTCTGTGTGTGTGTGTGTACCTGTAGTTGGAACCTCTCGTTCTCAGTTTGCTGTAGCTTAGTCCAGCCAGAAAGCTGATGACCTGGATGGTTTTGCCCAGTCCCATCTCATCTCCCAGGATGCCGCCTGCCTGCTGACAGTGGAGTTCCCACATCCACCGCACACCAGTCTGCTGGTATCTGAAAGTAGGACAAACAAGATATTTACTCAACAAAAATGCAGCATTTCTAAAAGGCCATGCGTCATGTCAGAGTTTAAAACTAATATCAACTTCTGTTGAAAATAGATGGCAGTTATAATCATTTTAAATCTAAAATTGAAAGTAATGTTTTGTATGATCTCATGCATTTAGAGACTTAGCATGATCTTTTAGCACACTACGTGCATGTTGTTAATACCTCTCAGCTACAGCCACATGCCACTGAAGCTCAATATCTTTGAATTCAACTGTGTTTTGGCTTTTTGTGTTAGCTAAATGAACAAGTAGCAGCAGCTAGAGGTCGACCAATGTTGGTTTTTCTTATGCCAATATGTAGGAGACACGGTCAGCCGATGGCCGATATTAGCGTGGTTAGCCAATGATTGATACACACTGCTGAATTTCATAGCCAATATCTATATTTTACCTTATTTTCATGCTAAAATGTCAATAACATCATCAGTTGATGCATACAATTTCTGAAGCTGAATCGGTTTTAAAACTCAGAATTTAACTAATTGTTAAATCTTAACTTTGTGCACTTTTCAGTGTTAAAGTGGGACACCAAATAGAGCATTTATTAGATGTTAGTAGTGAAAGTAGTTTTAAATTAATTCTGAACAACACCGGGTCACCCTAGGATGAGCCTGACTTTAAGTCGGCCTAACAAAGGACAAATATCGGCCAACGCTGATGTATAATAAACATTAAATATCGGCCCGATTATATCAGTCTATCCCCAGTAGAAGTCATCTTATACTGGATTAACTCCAAAAGTTACTCCAAGGTAGATGGACATCCAGCAATTATTTTCTGGAAGTTTCATTAAAATCTCCGGAGTGTTTTTTAGATATTTGCTAAAACACCAAGAAAAACTAACACAGCCACAAAAACATTTGGCTGTTTGGCAGCAGCCACTGAAACATTCAGTTTATTGCTTACTGATAGATAAATCTTGCTTAACCATTATAACCACGAGGCAAAAGTCTACAAGTGCGTGTGAGTCAACACAATCACAGATAGATGTTCTGCACTCTCACCGTCCCTTTCCAGGTGACAAACACCTTTTGTATTTCTTCACCGCCGCTGATGTGTCTCATTGAACTTACTTGTAAAGTTTTTTCCAAAGAAATCCAGGAACTTTGAAGCCTTCGTCAAACTCAACGTCGCTGTCGTCCGTTAGCTCCTCGCCCATTTCTCGCTTCTCCTCCCGCTCTCGAAGTCGCTGCCGCTTCCATTTCCTGACAGGACAACAACACTCACCGTTGCAAAACTATTTTATCTATTAACGAACTCTTGCCTGAAACCAAAGGTACGTGAGTTTAATCAAAAGCCAGCTTCTAGAGCGTCTCTTAACGGGTGTAGAGGCTGAACCTGTGACTGTTTCTCTTGAGCGGGGGAGTGTTTGCGACATATACGGTAAATGTAAAGAGAAGAGTTTTAATAGTGCAGAAGAGAGGGCAGTTAGAGGCACAGTCGTCACGCAGCAAATGAAGATTGATACAGACAATTAGTAGTGTGAGTTCCCCAGAAAGGTGTGAGGTGCAGAGGATAAGAATCCATCTTCATTTGGGCCTGGTCCTGTCACCCTGCAACGAAGCTGGTCCTTTAGCTGGGCCTGGGAGACCGCACTCTCTAATTAAGTCAAGACTAAGCATTGGTTCAGTTAATTACACTTTTCTGCCCCCCCACCAGAAACACAGCCCACTCTAATAATATCATTCTTCACATAAGCCAGCCTCACCATTCACGCCATGTCTGCGTATTTGAATTGACATTCAGTCACTGCCGTGTAGAAAAAGGACACGTGCCAACACAATTTATTTGGCTGCTATAAATATTAAATCTCATTAGGGCTGCTCTTCCATTAATTTGAGCATTAGAGTGAACGAGCGTACAAAAACCATGTGCAGGAGGATAATTAGGGCAGTGCAAGAGGAGAAAGAGAAGAACGGGGAGCGAATTTGCTTAGTCAAGAAGCAGCTGCCAATCTCATCTGGGATTAACTCTCTTTCTGCACTACGGAGCCAGAAAACACAAAACAGAACAACTGATTTTCACCTTAAGTAAAGACAATAGCTCATTTGCACCAACGCCTTTACAAACGTGATGCAAAATAAAAGTCTCGGTCGGGTTCTTGTTAAATGTTTAGACGTGGGTTTATGCATTCTAGAACAGAACAGAACAAACTTTTCTCAAATAGCAGCTCTGCTCAGGCGATAATACAAAAACGTACCTTATCCGCTGCCTGTAGTACTCCACATCTCCATCGTCTTTGTGTTTCTTCTCTTTACCCCCATCTTCCTCATCTTCGTCTCCCTCTGAACTCTCAGGACTGTATTCTTCTTCACTTTCTCTTTTCTTTACTTTCTTATCACTTTTTCTTTTGAATGGTTTCAACTCGTACTCTTCATCGCCCTCATCCTCCCCAAAGCCCTCTTCCCTGGCCTCTCTCTCCTCCTGTTCAAAGTCTAGTACTTCTTCACTGGGCAGATACTCGGACCCCTCGCTGTCCGTTTCCTCTCCCTCAGTGTGCCGCCTCCTCCTTGGTTTCGGATGCTGCGGCTCAGCCTTAGGTCGGGCTTTAGGATGGGCCTTCAGAGCTGTTATCTGCAGCTTCCTCATGCGTTTCTTTAGCTTTTTATCCTTAGATGAAGAAACCGACTTTTTGGACTTTACCTTAGTCATCCCATTAAGACTTAATTCTGTGTTTTTCTTCTTCCTCTGAAGAGGTAATTTCTTACGCTCAGTAGCTAACTTGGCTTGGTCTGCCAAGTACTGGTCAAAGGCAGAGTTCTCAGCCAGCATCAACTTTCGAGGCTCCTTCTTTACTTCCTTCTGTTGTATTCGGGTTCCAAAAGGAGTCATGTGACCTTTTCGAATGAGCTCTTCCCATTCGGTCTCCTGAGCTGGCATGAGCATGCTCCCCAGCGTGGACGGTCCTGGTTCTGATAAAACGCAACAAAAATAGAGTTAAATACAGAAATTGTTAAGAATCAATCATTTAAACTCTTCAAATGAAGACGTGCCACCTTCCTCTCCATCGTCTTCTGCAAACAGCTCAGCTTCCACTCTCTGAACATCTTCTCCACCCAGAATGGCCTGAAGTCGTTTCTGCTTTGCTCTAACTTTTTTCAGTTGTTTTTCCTGAATCAAAGTTTTATTCAGTTGCTGTTGTCACCGTCTTTCAGTTTCATTGTGTTGCTATTATATAAACCAATACAAGAATCTAAATACTCTTCATACATATTCTTTTTTACCTTGTTTTCCTTCTGTCGTTTGACAGATTCAATTTTTCTACTGATGTCCTTGCTGGAGGCTGCATAGGGAGTCAGCTGCTCAATAATCTTATTGATATGTTTCAGAGACGACGTAACAGACCTGAAACACGAGACAAGACAAATTACAGCTTAAAACCTTTTAAGAGTTGATGTATTTTTATTTATTTAAAATAACTTTCCACAATAACCTTCACTGATTGAAAAAAAAAACACAATAGTGCAGAAATAATCTTTTACATCGTCTCTTACCTGACATCATCCAGCACCAACTGGTACTCCTTTTCAGCCTCAGCTTTAACAGCAGCCTGACTGGCCTCCTGGATAGCCTCGTCCACTTGTTGCAGAACACCTTGCTCGAGAACATCCTGATCGTACACGGCCACACCTAAGCCTTGAAGTTCATCCGCTCCTGAACTGGCAGAAGCAACTTGGATGCGCTGACGGTCGATTTGAACCAAGGCTCCAGACCTCTTACCAGCTGAAAACAATCATGCTACAACATTAATACATTGTTTATAACTCTGGACAACTCAAACGTGGCATAGCTCACCACTGTTACACTCCCCTGGCCCATTGTTGGCTGGATATGCTGCAGCTGCCTCTGAGACATGGTTGTTTTCAGGGAAGGTGCAAACTGCTGAACCCCTTGCAGCTCCATCCTCCTCTGGTCCTCCGGGGATGAGTGAGGCACTGACCGGGCTGGAGACCGAGGAGGACGCCTGGGGCTCTGCACCTTCTACAGGCATGATGCAGCTGCAAGGAAAGACAATATGTAAATGAGATCAGTCATTTAGAACGGTTTCGTAACATGAAAATTAATTAGACTAAAATAAACAAACATTCAATAAAATGCCATATGCATACAGAATCATAATACATATTTCCAATACTAGCTAAACTGTTGAGATTTAACGGCCATTCTGTCATTCAAACAGTAAATACACAAATAATAACATATACAAACCAAACGCTGTCGTATTAAAACACAGTCAAAAAAGAGAGTTTAGGTTTGGGCAAAAAGTTGAAAAAAATGTTCAGTTCTCTCACAAAGGTCTATTGTTTACGTGGCTAAGCTAACCAGCTAAGCTAACAGCCGACTCTCATCAGTTACATGGACAGACAGCTTCGAGCTTCGAACTAAACACATGAATATAATAAGAATTACTAAACTATTAGTTCCGTCTGGAAGAGATGCTGGACCTTAAAGCGAAGCCAAACTACAATAATAACAGAAAAAAACGTACAAGATATGCCGTTACACAACATCTCCGGCCTGGGTTATGTCAGGATGGTTTTTGCTAGGCATTCTCCGAGTTAGCGGAAGGTGTTGTGCCGAAAAAGACAACTCTGCCGTAAAAGGTGCTCATGTCGTGCGTGGGAAGCGAATTATAATAACTTCAGTTTCATTGATCAAAGGAAGAAACTGTACAGCATGTATTGAGGGGACTCATATATATTTAAATTAAGGAAAATCTATTGAAAAAATGCTCCTAAGTATGGAAAATATCACGAGGCAGTTTGTTTTTACCATTGCAGGGTTGCTTCCAGAACAGGGGCTTTTTTTCGGTACAACACCAATGTCAGTTTAACTTGTTGGACAGCGTCATCTGCTGGTTAATGCCTAGAAAAGAAACTTGGCCACTAGATGGAGACACAAAACAGTTTATCATACAGGACAAACAGCAATTAAACATCCAAAGTAACATTAACTGAATAAGATTTTGTCACATTTTCTACCGTGTTTGTGCATAATTAGGCAAAATGTATCCACCGCTCTTTGCTCCAAACATAATTGATAATTGAAACAATCCAGATTACCTCAAAATAAAAAATGTATTTATCTGAAACACACCAGTGCTTTTTTATGTTGGAAAACTTGTATTTTCATGTGTGCCAATACATAAACAGCTAGTAATAGCATCTCACAGGAAGTTTATTTCCAGCGTCTTGCAACAATAAATGAAAGACTTAATTAAAATATCTTCACCTCTTTGCACTGTGGTGACCCAGTAATGGAAACTAATCCTTGTTATTTGTATAAGCAAACACATCTATATAGAAATAGAAATTGCTGTCACCTCTGACATACAAAAGTAATGACGATTGGTACGTTGGCTGAATGTGGGTCACCTCCAGTGGAATATCTCTAGCGACAGAGAAGGGAATTTGAATTAAAATAGCACTGACGTGAATATGAAGTGTGTCACAGTGAAATCTTCTTTCATTACCAGAGGACCTGCAGCGCAAAGCTCATATTAGTTAACCTGCAGAAAGTGTTCTCTTTATTTGCTTAGCCACAAATTAAAGACAAAGAACATCTGTACAACAAACTATCAAGCGTGTGATAAATGCATCTGATGTGATTTAGTAAACCTATTCATTCACACAATGTTGTCATTGTGAGGGTGAATTGCAAAGAGGAATGTATACAAACCTGCAGCTGTAAACCTCCTTCTTTTATATATTTGGCTTGAACTTGACAACCTTTACCTCAGATGAGGGGAAGACAATATTTATGCACAGTCTGTGTTTTCGTCACATCATAATAGGTGAATTTCAGCAGGTTAAACTAGTCTGACAGACAACACCAGGCTCACAGCACTTATGGTTTGGCAAAAACTGTTTGTCCGAACATTCTGCTTTCTTTTGTTAGCAACTCCCACCAATTTGTATGCGAAGGAGTTGGTAGATTTATAGGGTGTAGGAGGGAAGGGTGCAAATCCCAGAGGGGTGCTGTGGTTCTCTGTTAACACTGGTGTTCTGTGCAGCTTTGCATTGTGACAGCAGAATAACAAACACAGCAAGATTTAGAGAGAGAGTGTGTTGGACGTTTACGCTAAGCTAAGTTTAGTGGGTTTGTGTTTTTTAACTCAAGGCTCCAACAATAAGCTAAATGCATGAAAGATTATTCTTGTGTGTTGGACGAGCAAGAAGAAATGCTTCATTTGTTATCTCCTGCACCCTGATTCTCCACAGTATAACAACATTGTTTTTAAGTAGATGGCCTTCCTCAGCTATCTGGCACCAGATGGATGGCTCAAGGATGAGATCATTTCACAAAAGGATTTCTGAAGGACAGAAATGAAAAAAGAAGAACACTTTTTTTTAAATTAAAACTCTGCTGATGTCCGCATTTCTCAGGTTTGCATTCATCTTGACATCTATTGAAGGTGTTAAGATTTGATTTGTTCTTTTATGAGTGAAGTACATCTTTGCTTGAGTTTAAATTGGTTTACTCATTTTAAAATTAATTTCTGAAATTTCACACTTGAGTGCATTGCATTGCTTTTAATTTGCAGCTTGTGCAGCAGGACTAAAGTGGTGATTTTGTCTCTCAGACACCCAAAGGCACAGCTTCTATTTTCATTTTCCACTTTGACATGTTCCTCTGGTTAAGGCAATTTTGTTTCTCAAACACTTCATTTCTCAAAAGAATTGCAGAAATCTGAAGAGGCCCCTTGGCTTTCCCTAAATGAGAACAAATTTACATTTTACAAGAATTGAATGTTGAGCCAAAATAAACACAGAGAGAGAGAGAGAGAGAGAGAGAGAGAGAGAGAGAGAGAGAGAGAGAGAGAGAGAGAGAGAGAGAGAGAGAGAGAGAGAGAGAGAGAGAGAGAGAGAGGCCCTATCAAATAAAAATGTTTTTAGCCTATTCTTAAAAGTAGACAAGGTGTCTGCCTCACAGACTAAAGCTGGGAGTTGGTTCTACAAGAGAGGAGCCTGATAACTAAAGGATCTGCCTCCCATCCTAATTTTAGATATTCTGGGAACCACCAGTAAACCTGCAGTCTGAGAGCGAAGTGCTCGGTTAGGAACATATGGAACAATCAGATCACTGCTGGATGATGGAGCTTGATTATTAAGAGCTTTATATGTGAGAAGGAGGATCTTAAAATCTATTCTGAATTTAACAGGTAGCCAGTGTAGGGAAGCTAAGACAGGAGAGATATGATCTCTTTTTAATTCTCATCAGAACTCTAGCTGCAGCATTTTGGACAAGCTGAAGACTTTTAACTACATTCTGTGGACTTCCTGAGAGTAATGAATTACAGTAATTCAGTCTTGATGTAATAAATGCATGAACTAGTTTTTCAGCATCACTCCTGGAAAGGATGCTTCTAATCTTAGCAATATTTCGAAGGGGGAAAAAGGAAATCCTACAAACCTGTTTAGCGTGGGATTTGAATGACATGTCCTGGTCAAAAATAACACCAAGGTTCCTTACTTTGTTCTCGAAGATTAATGTAATGCCATTCAGGTCAGGTGATTGGCTAAGCAATTTCCTTTTCTGAATTTCAGGTCCAAAGATGAGAACTTCAGTCTTGTCTTGATTTAAAAGCAAAAAGTATTGAGTCATCCAATTTTTTATGTCTTCAAGACAAGCCTGTAATCTAACTAACCGATTAGGTTCATCAGGGTTAATGGATAAATATAACTGAGTATCGTCAGCATAACAGTGGAAGTTTATCCCATGCTGTCTAATGATTTTACCAATTGGGAGCATATATATAGTAAAAAGAATTGATCCAAGCACTGAACCCTGTGGTACTCCACAAGTAACCCTGGAGTATGAAGAAGATTTGTCATGTACATTTACAAAATGAAATCTGTCAGACAGGTAGGACTTAAACCAGCCTAGCGCTGTTCCTTTGATCCCCACAACATGTTCAAGCCTTTCTAAAAGAACATTGTGATCAACTGTGTCAAAGGCAGCACTGAGATCTAACAAGACTAGAACAGACACAAGATTCTTATCCAAGACCACTTTTCACACTCTACTACTTTCTTCTACAACCTGCTCTTTAACTGTATTATTTCCTGCAATTTCAGCTGTTAACTTTAATTTTTCTCTAAGTGTTTTCCTCTCCAGAAGAAGCTACAGTGATGTTCTGCTGAGCTGTGGTGGCCTCATGGAGGGGGCCGTTGTCTTGAACACTGTTGCTAACCATTTAATCATTCTCCCTCTCCTAATAATAACACTTTACTTTCCTTGCCATTGAATGTGCTACTACTAGTTTACCCATTTAATTATAGATTCACTAGGATCAAAACAATAAAGTTTATCTCTCACCAAATAGAATATTTACTAAGAAATCACAATGTAACCATAGAAACACTACTTGGTTTGTGTGTGTGTGTGTGTGTGTGTGTGTGTGTGTGTGTGTGTGTGTGTGTGTGTGTGTGTGTGTGTGTGTGTGTGTGTGTGTGTGTGTGTGTGTGTGTGTGTGTGCACGCGCTCTGTTCTCGATCCCCAGTGAGTCGTGGAGGATGGCTGCTTTTACTGAGCCAGGATCCTCTGGAGGTTTCTTCCTGTTAAAAGAGAGTTTTCCTCTCCACTGTCGCTGCATGCTTGCTTAGTATGAGGATTGCTGTAAAGTCACTGACACTAGTCAGTGACGCTGGGCTCCTTATATAGGAAACTTTTTTCTGTTTGGCTGAATGACTTGACCTGTATTGGAATGTTTACTGTGTGAAGTGCCTTGAGACGACTATTGTGCTGATTTGGCGCTATATAAATAAACTTGAAATGAATTTAATTTAATTTAATGTGTGTCTTTCATGTTCATATTTTTGTATAATAGTTTCTCCATTTTAATCTTGACCTTAGAGATGTATTTGCACACACACACACACACACAAATACACACACACACACACATATGGACCGACACACAAACACACACATAGACATACTTGCACACACAGACATGCTCATACACACACACACACACACACACACACACACACACACACACACACACACACACACACACACACACATGCATGCACATTTGTGCATACATTTACTTACACACGCACACACACACACACACACACACACACACACACACACACACACACACACACACACACACACACACACACACACACAGATTTACAGTAAAAACACTAAAGATTCATGCTAAAAATTACTCGTTCCTAATCAATGTTTCTGTGTTCTTTAGGCGGAGCACATGTTGTTATCCAAAGCCCACAAGGCCTTATGAATCAACACCAGTCATGTCTGTAATAATATGTATGCAAGCCACACAACACTGAACACACGTGTGGTCATGTTGGCAAGGCTAATGTCTCCCATGTGCTCGCCTGTCCCAGTTAACGCTCCTCTGATTGTGGGTCTGACAGTAATTACAGGGGTGGTTCCCATTCGGGTGCATCAGACCTCTCCATACTG